GTACAATACAAATTCCGGGCAAAAATTATAGTTTTCCACACTTGGTGGATACTCCTACATAATGGCGGAGCGCCAGCCGAGTATTAAAATGTAATGTTTTATTAGTAAGTATTGATGTTACTTTAAACCAGTGATAGCATACATGAGATAACACCTACCTCTTATGTAGGAGGTCTTGTATTTTGATATGTGAATATGTATCACTGAGTTTATTCCAACTATATTCACCCTTTTTACATCACGTGCTTCCTACACATTATTTCAAGTGCTTCAATGATACCGTGCTATCCTAATGATTTGATGTACCGTCTCTGGAGGCCGTGGGTTCGAATCCAGGCTCGAGTTCGAGGAACACTTCTGAGTTTCTAGGAACTTCTATAGTTCGGAGTAACTTAATTTGAAATTTACCATGTAATTTTCGGTGAAGAAAAATGACGTGGTGAACCTGCACGCCGAAAAAGATTTACAACCCTCGGAAAACGTGTGAAGTCCCTAACCCGCATCGGGACTATGGCTTAAACTTTCGTCTCACAGGAGAGCCACGTGCCCAGCTGTGGGACGGGGTTGATGATGATAATGATAAAAGAAAACATCGTCATAAAGTCTGTATATTATAACGCACACTTACTCATAGCCCCGGACTAGGAACACCTTGTATCGTGGACGCCAAACTCACGAGAGAAATAAATGTAGGCCATACAGATATTTCTCCAAGCCCGTGAATCGAACCCTGGACCTCTGCGTGGCAGTCCAGCATGGTGACTGTTCGGCCACGGAGGCAGTTGAAGAATATTCACCTGATGACTTATATAATTTGATAATGATAATGACGATTAAAGTTAATAAGATTCCTGTTTGCGTAAAATACTAAAATCCTAATTCATTTGATAAGTTTGTCTATACTGATAGGTATATTAAGAAAAACCCTAAAGAAAAGTCTGGATTATGTTAACAACGTACATATGAACCACTAGCCAAATATACCAGAACGTTTAATCAAAATCAAAAGACGACTGAAGTCATTAATTTTTAAAATTTTACGTTCTGAATAATTTAACCGTTTTTAGCGCTCCTCGGTTCCTAGGCAATAATAACAATGCCAAAGAGTGTAAAAAAGAAAAATAATTATATATATCCATAGTTGCTCAGTATGTAGTTGTTTGTGTGTGGGAACGGGCATAAAAGTAAAGGGATTAAAAGTTTACCTCGGTATAAAAACGATAAAATTAATATAATATCTCCTATTTTAGGTCAAGCTGTTCAGATTTTTATGGCTCAAATTTTATCGCGCCGGAACGGAATGGAAGCGAATTTTTGAGACGATATTGTACATAGCATAATGAAGTTTATGAGCAAATGTGTAACGTACGCACTAAATAGAGCCAAAATTGGACGATACAAAAATTCGCTTCAGTATAAATTGGGCCTATGATTTGTGTATGGCTTCGCTAGATAGTACTGTTGATAATTTCTCGTTTTAATTACTGCATGAAACAATTTTAAAAATTGTTAGTACCCCGAGTATAGTTGACAAAAGACAAAGTTTGCGATAGGGCAGTGCATAGTGCATTAGCACTAATAATCATTATTTATGCATTCTATGTACAGCAGGCTTGCCCCGTAAATCAAAGGACAGCTCGGTCGGTATTTTATCTTTTTGGCTCAGTGTTGCCAGAAAAAGAGACACGGTTGCATTATAAATTATCTGACAAAAGGTTGACAGGTGATTAGTAGTAATTAGTGGTGTAAAAATTTTTAAATATGATTAGTAGAAACAGTGGTTTAAAAAATTGATTAGTAGAAACAGTGGTGTAAAAAGTTCGACCTGTGATTAGTAGAAACAGTGGAGTAATTATTAGTAAAAACAGTGATGTAAAACGTATGACATGGGATTAGTAGAAACGGCTGTATCAACGACAACTGTAAGTCGTATAAAATCAGAATAACGATGACATCGGACTGTTGTACGCCTTACGTGATTGGTCAGCAATATTGTGACGTAAATAAACGTCTTTTTTTTCGTATATGCCTGTGAAGCCATAAGTATTAAGAGTAAATGTAACCAAAAGCGTCCATTTATGCAGATTGCTTCTTTAAGCCAGCCCGAGGGCTGTCGTAAAGAAATAACTTGGTACTTTGATGGCTCGATGTGTGTTGCATCGCTCGTTAAATATGTAAAAACCTTGTCGACCGAAGCTATAAACAATTTACATACACAATAAAATATGCCAAAAACTGTTTTCTACCACTGTCTATCATAATTTTATAGTTAAAGCTGAATAGAGTAAAATTATTTAAAATATAATGGATAAGATTCATATTAAATGACGTGGCAAATCGTTATGAATTAGTCATATAAATGGTTGGAAGCATTAATCTGTACAATAACGTTCTTAAAGAAATTCTTGAGTTTTTGTAATAAAATTACCATAAAAACACATCAATCGAGACAACTGGAGGATGGAAATTAACGAAATTGCGTTTAATTTTCTGTGGAACCATTATGGCGAACGAAGGTTCGAAATTATCAACATTTTCTTTGATAATTGTCATGAAAATTATCTGATAATTATTCGATAATTATTCGATTTATCCACGCTGATTCATTTTGTCTCTGTAATTTTTGACTAAAATTAACTAAATAAACACGAAGGAGAATCATTGTATAAATGATTTGGTAGAAATTGACATTTGATACGTTTCGATGCGTTTCTGATACAAACACAATGCACGACATCGCTAGAGCGGCAGTATTTTACAGCATCAAGGTATATTTATCAATGATAACTATTACTTCGACCACTGTGGACCCTGTAGTGAATTAAGTACCGGAGGATAAAACACCCAAATATCATAACAAATGTGGATATCATGTAAAAAAGAATCTAGAGGTAATCATAAAGCGTTTAATGGTCAATGACTGAATGTCTTCGTATTAATTATTGTAATGCATAGGATGACACGGGTATTAAAGTAGAAATTTCAATGGTACGTTATAATACCGACTTTCTACGAGAATGGTAGGAATTTATAGAACAGAGTATGTCGACATTTAATAGGATTAAAGACGACACGTAGTCGGTTAAGGCGTTATTACTCGTAATTCTTTGTAATGCTGTTAACAGCTTATATTTGTATATCAAGGCCAGAATTTAAAAGATTAACAATAACTTATTTCTAAAAAATATCGTTAATGTATGCAGCTGTTCTTGCTTCTTCACGTATCATTAATAAAAACGAAGCGTTGAACATAACGTCTGCTTATCTCTAATTACCAATGAATTCGATAGTGTAATAAAGTTGCATGAGTTACTGATTTTCTTACTTTAAAATCCGATCGTTAAGTTTTTTTTAGTACAATAAAATGATTATAATATGACCATTTCGAATCTGTAAATTGATCATATGACATTTTTATTAATATTCGATGGATATTGTTCGCAAATAAATTACGACCTAATTATGCAAATGATTAAGTCCGATTTTATTAGGAAGCGAAATAAAAATGTAGAAGATAGAGCGCAGTTTAAAAAATACTAAACAGGTCTAGGGCGTGGCAGTGCACAAGGGTTTATTTATGGAACACGTACACTTTTTATGTAGAGCCATGGCTAAGGGGCCCGCGAACTGGTTGCCTTTACACAACTACAGAACTCTTATGAATGCAAATTTGAGGCGTGACATATTAATGCTATATGCTGCCCCGCTATTACTCAGCATAATTTCAAACCCTAATCGGTACAAGAGCTAGTTTATACTGCTGGCATCTAACTCGTTAGGGTTTGCTGTATCGTCACGTTGCTCGATCTTATTTATTGGCGACCCCTCCCACTCAGTGCTTGACGTCGTATCTGCGAGGAACGTTTTCTTATGATTTACTCCGAGGTAGATAATATCGATAGCTAATTCAACTAGGACTACTTTTTGCTGTGAGTTACGCGGTCGACTTTCAACCGGTCAGGGAATGTCGACGGCAGAACATGTACCTAACCTAGATTAACGAGGTACGTGTGTGAAAGAAATTGGTTTTTAATAATCTGGTGTTACTTGATCAAACTAATCGGTGTAAATGGATACAGTTGTACGATGTGTTGTGTGAGTTTATGGTAAAACGGTTACGGCTCTCGTTGGAGAGATTATAAATATCTTAAATAAGTAAGTGTCACTAGGTCAGAGGCACTGCAGTACCTGTAGGGTATATAAATACGCTTACAGGACTATAAAATAAATTTACGGATACGAATATCGTATTGCACGTTAGCTGATATCGGCAGAATGATGACACCAACAACAAATCGCAAGAAGCGCGAAGGTATTCAGGATTATACTAATAAACTTTACCCAATACTGTCCCCACAAATCCCGTATAATTCCAAGATTACTGGCGCTCAAGAATCCATAGCAAAATGCTTGTTAAAATATTCACCGTGCGAAATTTATGTTGTCATATTTTTCTTGCTCTGTAAGCAGCTTGTAGGATTTCTGAGTAAATTACATTAAGTGGATAAATGTGATGATGTGGACTGCCAACAGCCAAGGCTGTTGCAGTGATTGGATTCTTTGGATTAAGGTAAAGTTCGGATCGTTCTGTAATCTAAGTGTAATCTTGTTTAAGGTTTTGTTATATCAGGTCAACTGACTGTGACGCAAAGTTTTGCTTTGGCAGGCTTTGTTGTACTATGCAGAACACAATTTGTGGTCACCTTATTGTTGGAAGACAATTTGACTTTTTGGTTTACTTGCCGATGTTGAACTAAAATAATGTTGAAACTTAATTTACATAGAAAATGAAAATATTGTTTCGGGCCCTTTAAAGGCCACGGCTGACTGGCTGACACTGCGGCCCAAAACGTTTGCAAAAACAAATATTTTTAAGCTACCGAAAAAATTGTTTAATTTCCTATGTGTAACAATCGCGAAAACATAAGAACTCGATACTTAATGTATATTCTGAATTAACATTGTATAATTTTTATTTATAATAATATTTTTTGTTCCAGTGAGATGGCGCGGTGGAGCGCGCTGATCCAGCATGGGCGACCGATATGGCTTCTTCTGTTATTTCTACTGCAAACGGCAGCGACACCTGGTGAGCATATTAAACAGACCTTATTATAGTAAATGGCTTCCGCCACCTAATTCGCCTTAGAAAAGCGCTCTGCCATGGAATATAAGATCTTGGTCTCGGTATATGTAATCCTTATCTGTGTTTTTTCTTTATAAAACTCTATATTTACATTGCATCGGATCGGGAAAGAAGCGAATTTTTATAACCGTAGCATTATTAACTTTATGGCATTTGTGTAATGTGCAAATTACAAACAAACAAGTTGGTTTCTCGGAGATTTCTCGCACAGTCTCGGAAATTCATACAGCTATCGTGCGTATCTAGTTTGTACGTTACATAATTCACAAAGTTCATTATCATAATTTACAATTTCGTTACAAAAATTCGCAATGGAAATTATGCCTCACGAGATCATTCGAAAATAACGAACTGATAAGAAACTGTTGAAACCCACTTAAGTAAAGTACGTAAAGTACGCAGGGTTTTATTTTCAATTATTTATTCAAATGTGTAAAAAAAAAAATGACTCCTGTCTGTGCAGATATCGAATAGCAATTCGTCTGTGATCGCCCCTAGCAACTCTAAATAAATGAAATTTAGAATTTATTTATTACACTTTTTAAATTTTTATACCTTTTGCATAAAGTGCTACATACACCGCCTCTGATTACTTGATATTTACTATACACTCCGCTTGCCGGTCTTATGCAGCAAGCGAATAGCTATAGGTGAAGACTGCAAATCAGCAATGCTGAGTCTTCACCTTTTTTTGTCGACTATACTGTTTCTTGTTTAATTGTTCGCTTACATGATTTATGTTTTGTGGATAAATAAATATCTTGTGACTTATTTATTTCATTAATTAGAAATTGTTAAGCAATAAGTATACAACTTAGTATTTTTAACCCACTTCACAAAAGGAGGATTCTCAATTTCATTATATTGCTTTGTACGTATGTTACGCGATAACTCCCGGCATTTGTGAACAGGCCTCGGTAGTAGTCCCATATATCGCACTGCTACTACAATAGTGTTGTAACTCAAAATATGTGAAATTTAATATTATACCATTTTTGAACGTAAAATTTGATTCTCTACACGTCAAAAAAACCGTTGTTAGAATATTGTAAAAAACAATCAAAAGATATGTGGGTACTTAACTCAAAATGAGACCCACTTTATATGAGCTAGTTCTGGCTAAAATAATCCATATTCAAAAATATGAAATAATTTTTTCCTATTTATTTTTAAATATATTTGGGAAATGGTTTGTGTCTATAATAAACTGTAACGTATACATAAATTTTAACGATTTTTTGCGGGAAGTGAGTAATTAGTTTTTCACCGATTCTGAGAAAGTCCACTTTTTGAATTAATATACTATTGTATTAACTTTGCGAATTATGTTTGAAGAAAATATTCCACCTCTAAAGTTGGTAAACTAGGAATTTTGGTAAACTAGGGATGAAGTCGGTTTCGCGTGCTTTTCGGTAACCGATGTCAATAAAAAAATTATGTTTTAATTCCATTATTACTTGAATTGTATAGGTAGAAAATAAATATAAAATTATAGTTATTACAATGTAAATATAATAATATAAATGTGGTATGTGAATGTGTGAAAGTGAGTAGGTAATATTATATTAAGTTCCTCTCTCAAATTGTTAAATCTTGCAGTGCCCTAACGGGGTCCATATGAACACATGTATTTAAGTTAAGACCTTTTCTAACATATGGTGGCAATGAATAAATGAATATGAATAAAACTTGGCAAATAGTTGTAATTCCACCAATTTTTGAGGTCGGTTTTTTTTATAAGAAAGTTATACCTACACAATACAAAATATTAAAACACGTATTCAAATTACTAATTTATTTCTATATAACTTCCTAGGTCCCATACAATACAGTATTTAAACACAAAGCTATTAGTCCAATAAAGCAGAATGCAATATCTGTAACATAGCCATGACAGCGTACAATTTGTCGTTGTTCCGCCTCTCTATGGATTCATTGGTATTCATCGAACGATGGAATGGAAATCACAATCTATTTGTTTATTTACCGACTATTGCTTTTGCACTCGTCGATATACGTGTGCATCTAACACTAGTATTAGTTTAGAGTTAGATATATTTTACACAAATTAACCATCGTAGATAATATTTAAATGCGAAAGTAAACTGTCTGTTACATTTTCATGCCTTAACCGCTGAACCAATTAATGATAAATTTTATTATAGAGATAGATGGGACCTAGGAGATGGACATAAGACTATTTTTTTTTAACTGATTTTTTTTTCACTCAACATAGCCCCGCACTAGGGAAACCCTGTGTCGCGGGTGCTATGGATACATATATAGATAACCACAAATTGCACCCAAACTCACGAGAGAAATAAATGTAGGTCATACAAATATTTCTCCCGGCCCGGGAATCGGACCCGAGGACCTCTGCGTGACTTCCGGTATGGTAACCGTTCGACCACGAAGGCAGTTAAATAGAAAAAAGGAGGTTCTCAATTCGTCTGTGTTTTCTTTCTTTTGTATGTATGTATGTTACGCGATAACTCCCACATTTGTGAACCGATTTTGATGACTATTTTTTATTGGAAAGAGGGTTCCTCAGTATTGGTCCACATAACTTTGAAGGGAGCATTCCCCCTCTCAGGGTGGCAAAGCAGGAGATGAATTCGGTTTCGCGCGGCGTGAGCGCTATGAAATTTTATTCCAGTTTTCTAATGTTAGTTAGTACTTTGGTAGCATTTAATGTAACATTATAGAAAAGAAATCGAATATGGGTTACACCACTTTGCGCTGATAATCTTAATAAAAGTTAGTATACTGTTTACCAAAGAACGCAATACCTGTATTAACGCCCAACCATAATGTCTTCATAGCAAAAACCGATCTATTGACAAAATTAATTACTAAACGTTGAACTAATGATCGTAAGCACGCGTACAATTCATAAGTAAACCCAACGCAACCAAAACAAGCATACTACCATGCTTTCTAATTGGACACTTTACTTATAAGGGTACTTACTAACCCGCTACTCCTTAAAAGGAGGTAGGCTAAATTTTATGAGCATATTGAGTGCACATGTACTAATTAAAGATAACGTTTAAGGATTTATATTTTTGTATAGAATGAAAGATTGATAAATAAACATGTGCGTTAGTTATTAATACCACGTTTCCCAGACACACCTTGAAGGCGGTATTTAAAATTTATGTTTTCATATGAAGGTTACAACAATCACGGCTTAGTTGTGATCTATTTTGCCGAGACTAATAAATGGCTTGGGTATTTGTCTTGTATTAAATACAAGACAAATTTTGTCAAGTGACAAAGATTTATAAATCATTGATTTAGCTCGCGGCTATGCTACAGAGTTGGGATAAAAAAATTCTATTTATGGTCAAGGCATTATTTTTTGTTCCATAGTTTTAAATACTAAAAAAGCAAAAACGTTTTTCCAATTTTTTGTCATTTATGAGGTTTTTTTATAATATCAATTGACGGGATGAACAAGTTGCGCGCCTGGTGGTAAGCGACACGCCTGTCCATGACAGTTGCAGTGCCATTCAGAGCATTAATTCGCAAAGATTTGAGGGGCGCTACCACTGTCCCCCTTACTCTGAGAAATAAGCTGACAAGTCTCAAGTGCTTGTAATTTCACCAGCACTTTTATTTACCCTTCGAAACCGTTACGCAGTAATGCTCACATTACTGCTTGGCAGAAATAAATAAAATAAAATAACATGCATTTATTTCGGACTACAACAAGATCCATAAAAATGTTAGTATTACAGCAAAAACTTCAATGACTATTTTAGTACGTAAACTTAAATGAAGAGAGGACCAGTGCCTTAGCAGTCCACTGTCCCATCTGTGCACAACAACTCTCAAGAGTTTGTGGCAGCTGGCGCGCACCCTACGCATTGTCGCGGCGGCGCAGCGCTTGCGCAACGTCACGTCGAAGCCGTCAACGCTCGCATCCGTGAACATCCCTGACGCACTACAGTGTCGCGGCAGCCGCAGCAGAACTCTGAACGCGTAGTTGTACTGTACTGTAAATGAGGTGTCAGTATTTTTCTGGAACTCTCACTAAGAGCTCTACTTCTACAAAAGTTGTTCAGGTTGCTTCTTCATTATTGTACAAAGTTTGAAGTGTGTGTTTGTACGTACGTAGCTTATTTTCTTATTGTGTCAATAAAGTCTGAGTTAGTTATATGTTGTATTTGTAAACGATAATGAAGATAACCCGAAAAATTTTGAATTCGGGATAAAAACTATTGAAAACAATTACACACGTGGTCATTTTACATTATATCCTGAGGTCTTATTTAGTTAGATAAATTAAATTGAAAATTCATTACAATGATTTATAATAATCTTAAGATAAATAATACAAATAGCGTTTTTAAAAACGATCATGTCAAAAGTGGTAAGGGTGAACGGGTATTTATGTCAAAAAGGTATGTTGTGAGCGTAGTGGATGGATGCGCATAATCTTATATTAATAAAAATTATATTTTTTTATAATACCAAGCGACGACGGGACGAAAAAGTCGTGCACCTGGTGGTAAGCGACACGCCTATCTATAACAGTTGCAGTGTCACTTATTGCTTATAATCGCAAAGATTTTAGGGGCACTGCCACTGTGCCGTCACTCTGAGTCATAACTTGACAAGTCCCATGTGCCTAAAATTGCACGAGCACCTTTACCATTCGAAACTGGAACGCAGTAATTCTCACATTACTGCTTGGCGGTTGAAATAGGTAGGGTGGCAGTACTTCCCTGGACGAACTCTTTCACAAGGAGCTCTACTGCTACTAATAAAGATCAAATATGAAAGTTTCTCCAGCGTGATGGTATGTTTGTTTGTAAGTAAAAGAAGACTAAGTATAATGGATACAATGAACTGTACTTAAATGCTCATGGTGCAAGAAATGCCTGATTTTAAGAGCAATAAAATTAAGGTAACGGTAAGCAAAGAGATCAACAGTTACAGTCACCAACACGCCCAGCTTTACGCTAGGATTCCAAATTCAACTCTATATCATCTGTTATCACAAACCAACCAAAGTCTAAAGTTAAGTGTGTTGTTGACTTTACTTACTTGAAAATGTTATAGCTTTGGTAGTCATAATTTATATATTTTCTTTCAAAGATCGTCGTAAAGAGAACTGTAAAACCAGATTCTCTGTATCATAGTAAAGTAATTTAAACTTTAACAGGATGTCATTATGTTTAACCATTATTATAATATTACTATAAAAAATCGATGTGAAATGCTGTTAACTGTAATAAATTTTAGTAGCGGTAAAATTCCTTGTGAAAGAGTTCGTCCAGGGTAGTACTGCCACCTTACCTATTTCTGCCGTCAAGCAGTAATGTTAGCATTACTGCGTTCCGGTTTCGAAGGGTAAACGTGCTGATGAAATGTGTGTTGTAAACTTCTCAAGATGACGGGCGCAGTGGTAGTGCCCCACAGATCTTTGCGATTTAAAATTCTGAGTGGCACTGCAACTGTTAAGGACAGGCGTGTAATTACTTACTCGTAATAAGCCAAGTTATTAGTGCTTTTTGCCGTTGTTTGATATTAAACGGAGTGTAATGATGTTATAATTTTTTTAATGTTTACCGAAAAACGGCGTAAATTACCCCGTTTTTCGGGGTAATTTACCCTTTTTTTGCATGCACTCGTAGCAAAAAAAAAAAAAATGATTTTCGAATTGTGACACTGTTGAAGGCAGTGTGGACATGGTTACTAATTTTTGGATTTCGACCGTAGTCAATATCGCGTATGTCTTCGATCATCTCTATTTTCAGTTATGTACTCGAGTACATAACCGAAAATAGTCTTGCATATGCAGAAAACACAAAGAACCTGGATCTGATAATTGACTTTACGCTGTCCAGGAGACCACAGATAAATGAGGCTAATCGACGCATGCACTTTTCCTATCATTCTCTTAAACGGCTTCAATTCTTACCGTTCAACACCAAGGCTATGCTTGCTCAGTCCTTACTACTCCCTCTTCTCAAGTATGCCGATGTTTGTTGTGTTGTGTGCTACTGAGGAGCTGCTTAACAAACTAGAGCGCCTACAAAATCTGGCAATCAGTTTCATATTCGGTTTACGTAAATATGACCATATCTCTGAATTTCGGACTAAGTTGAAATGGCTTCAGCGAATCCGACTTCGCCGAGATATGCACGTTCTTTGTCTTCTTTATAAAATTTTAAATTACCCCAGCTTCCTCATTACCTGTGTTCCCCAACCTGCCCAAAACGTACCTGTGACACTAGAACACTATTATATCCCCAATCCAACTCCAAATTCTTTCACAATTCTTTTACTGTAAGTGCAGCGTGTATGTGGAATAAACTACCTGCTGACATTCGTGACAGTCCATCGGTGGCATCTTTCAAACACAAATTAAAAGAGCACTTCCGACCGAACGCGTTAGATAGTTCATCGGTAACATATTTGTAAACAAGTAATCTGTTATTATAATATATATTCTGCTTATGTATGTATTTACGTATATAAAGTTCATGTATGTGTGTATGTCTGGTGATTATATATAATATATATATATTTATATATATATAATCATCATTAATATTTTATTCTCATTTAAATTTAAATTTTGTTGTACAATGATTAGTCCCGGCTAGGGTTAGGGTTGGCTGGAAGAGATCTCTTATAGAGATAAGCTCACCTTTGCATATGTTCATTGTAACGTGTGCTGCATGTGTCTTTTCCCTGTACAATAAACAAAATATGTAAATAGAGACGAAATAAAGGCCATCCATCCCTGGCAACTTATCAGGCAAATGGGCCTTATATCACTTTTATATATCAACTCTCGTTTGCACTGAAATCACAAATTAGAAATCTGAAATAGTACAGCGCCAACTCCATATATTCTAAAAATATTCTGTATTTATTGTAATAAAGATAATGTCCTCACAATGGAGGGCTGTTCCATTTGGTGTTGTGGGAAAAACAGCAAAATATCTAATTATTAAACAAACGGAATCGGTAATTAAATATTAAATATGTAATTTTTAAATTTTCGTCCATTATAGCAAAACTCAAGTAAAACTGGCCGATTTGAAGGGAAAGGTTTCGAATTCGAGCTGGCCAATCGGACCGCAGTTGTCACCGTAATGATTTGGCAGAGTAGTTTTCTAACTAATTAAATGACATTTTGTCTCGTCTGGTTATATACTCGATGTCGATCATAAATATTACTCGATCGAACGCGGGTGTCTATATTCTAATAATAATAATTTCACTTAATAGAAAATTCAAGTTAAAGTAAGCAGCACTTTAATTAGTAACGGTAAACTGGCGACGGTAAGCGAAACTTCGCACCATTTAACTGTCGACTCGATATTTATGTGTATACAAGAACAAGTTGATTTCCGTATTTGCCTTCAGTGTAATTGGACGTTACTGCTTAGCTTATAAAACTATAGAAATATATCTGGCTATAAAATATGTATGATGTTAAATATATATAATATTACTATTTATTTATTTATAGAGTTTATTTGAAATAAACCGACATTTCGTGTATAGTACAGGTCCTATGGACACGGTTGACTGACGTTGGTTTGTTTGAATAAACAAACATAAGCTATTTAGATCCGATAAAACAGTTTCATTTTCAATGTTTTACCTATTTCTTAAAATTGAAATCTCTTTACAAAAACAATGAACTCGAGAATGTTTTGTTGCAAAAATCTGAGAACTCAATAAACGCCGTTTCTTTTGCATATATTAATTTTTGACTACATAAAATAATCTATATAGATCTGAAATGGTATCGTAAAATTTAAGTGCTGGAAGAGTTAATATTTTGATCTTATCGATGAATAAAAGGAAGTTACTTTAAATTCCCAGATGCAATGTGTTTAAGCTGTCAGTACAGGTGTAATAATAAAGGTGTTACTTAGTTGTACTTTCGATTAAAGCGTCCATGAATTTGACTACTTCAGCGAGAAATCTCTTTAACCGATTTCAAAAAAAAGGAAGAAATTCTCAATCCGACTGCATTTTTTTATCTATGTTACGCGATAACAATTATGAACTGATTTTGATGATTCTTTCTTGTTGGAAAGAGGGTACCTCGGTATTGTTCCCATTTAAATTTGAAGGAAATATTCCACATGTAAGGGTGGCAAATAAGGTGATGATTCTGGTTTCGTGCACTTTTCTGGAACCGATTTCGATAAAACTTGGCAAATAATTGTAATTCCATGAACTTTTGAGGTCTATTTTATTTTTATAAAAAATTTACAGTTAGATGGTACAACGATGTTTTACTTACCATGATAATATTTTTTTTATTCGAATCAAATTATTTTGAATTTTCATATAGATTTTGCTCAAGCGAATACAAATATTTGTGAAAGTGGAAAAAACTTTTTTTTTGTTATTTTATATATTTTAGGAAAATTCGTATTTTATTTATCAGTATAGTTACGCTATAAAATTAGTAATTTCAATGATTATCCTTTTGTTACAGGTCCATGTGAAGTGGAAACTGGCCAGTCTAGCATTATTGTAGACATAGAAGAGAGCAGAGGAAATCGTAAGTAATTTATTTTTTTATTTAACAATCTCAGTATCCTCAGTACAGCGGCGAGCTATTTTTACAGTCTAAACACGTATTTTATGTAACAATAATAACAATGTGCCGGACATGATAAGTGAACAACGGAAATAACTTCCAGAACACCCTAATCAGAACTAATTTTAGAAAAGTTCATATAATTACCTAATGTTCCTATAAATTAATCTCGAAATGAGATTTTTAGGGGGTGATTCTACACACCAATGAAAAGCCGATAAATCAGCTATTCCACGATACATATTTACGTGTGAGTAAATACCATAAATACTTAACCCAAGTACATAGCACAGCTAATGTTTTTTTCAGACCCCCTCATAAATAAAGGTTGTTCATATTGACATATTATTTATTAGCTGCTACACTTAGGGCTCTTACACATAAACACAATACGACGTCGCGTCGTGCTACGACGCTAGACGCGACAGTCGTCCAACGATAAATAAATTATCGTTGGACGAGAGTCGCGTCTAGCCTGTTGCTATATCATGACTCTGTGTCGTGGACGTTTATTTTATCGTTGAATGACTGTCGTGTCTAGCTGTTCCCACTAGATCGTGACGACAATTTATCGGTTCTCGGCCTTGTGGTTTGCGACAGTTGTTGTATTGTTCTATGTGTGAACAATTTCATTTCACGACATAATGGAAACGCGCCCTAAGGATGCTCATTGCACACCGAGCTCCAGACACAACTGGAAAATAAGGTGACAAGTAAATATGTGAGGGATATAGTTACTAATTAGTCGTTAAGGTTTACATTAGCTAACTTTATAATGTGGATACATATTTATAATAAAAAAGTATATTACGTATTTTTAATAAAAAAGGAACTAAATAAATTTGCTATTAATAATAATAATAAAGCACGCACTCAACATAGCCCCGCACTAGGGAAACCATGTGTCGCGGGTGCCATGGACATACACATAGACAACTACAAATTACACCCAAACTCACGAGAGAAATAAATGTAGGCCATACAAATGTTTCTCCCGGACCTTAGCCCTCTGCATGGCAGTCCGGCATGGTAACCGTTCGGCCACGGAGGCAGTATTCCATGAACCCAGTTGGAGGTGGAAAGAAGTCTGGAGCTTATAAGATTTATGATGAATGGTCAAACAGGACGTAGTTTTATAACTAGACTTTACATATTGAGAGGTCCAATTGGGTTTTCGGAATTGCAAATTAATTTACTGCTATTTTTATTGAAACGGATTTCCGCAAAGTAGCTCCTGAATTAATTGGCCATAACAAAACGAATACTAATAAATTACTAATAAACTAAAAATGACGATTTGTCACTTGTGACAGTGTTCAAACCGATCGACACCTCCAATGAACACTACGCCATCTTTATTTTTTGGTCGTCTTCTGTTATTTTTGTAAACATAACAGAAGACGTTATATTTATTTACCTTAGTAAATAAATATGGCGGTTTAATATAAATATAATCTTATCCCTCCCCGAATTCTGTGAAAAAAAGAAACAAGAACAAAAAAAAAACGAATTTTGTAAAAAAAAAAAGAAAAAACCAAATAAAAACAGAACAGGTCCAAAAATGAAGTTGGCTTAGTGTTCATTGGAGGTATCGCGATATGCGGTTCTCTGAATACACAACATCTGAGTATCAGTACATCCAAAATTATATAAGTGCTAATTGCCTTGTTTGTAATTTATCATCCTGATTAATTATGGCTTAATTTGAATAATTAAATTCGGTACTAAAGCATTGATGAACTGCTTTTAATCAATATGCTTATTGAAATAATATAAAATATATACCTGTTATTAAGTCGCTTCCATTAGTTTAATTAATCGTGATAGGTATTGAGTGATGACTGTTTCGGTTTTTAAAGGTAAGGGTGCTGGTAAAATTACAAGCACAAAGGACTTGTCAATTTATGTCTCAGAGTGACGTGCTCAGTGATAGTGCTCATAAGTTCTGTAATTTCGCCAGCACCCTTAGCCTTCTAAACCGAAACGCGGTAATGCTCACATTCCTGCTTGGCGGTTGAAATAGGGAAGGTCCTAGTGGAAATCGGACCCGAGACCTCCGTACCCAGCGCCCACAGCATAAACCGTTGGACGACTGAGGTCGTTTTTAAACCACGTTCCTGATGAATTAGAAGTTTTCGAACTACGCCGCTATTCTACAAAGTCAACCAAGTAAACAATTGAAAATACGATACGTCTAAAAATTTAAATTAGTTTTCAGGCGAGTACTCATATTATCTTTAAATGAGATTTTCATTATTGTATGTATGTTAGTCCTTAAGGTGTATATACGGGTCATGTGCCCTGAAATAAATGTGTAAATAAAATAAATAAATAAATTATCCACGTTCAATACTTAATTAACCATTTGCGTTTTCCTTGCAGAAGTAAACCAAAGCACAATACCAGCAGAGCTCCCTGTGGTTGGTGAGCCTGGAGTAGACATCATACTAACAACGGTGTTCCCCAAGGGCCCGACGCTGTTCGAGCTCGACGGAAAGCGGTTACAGCTGTTGCAGCCATTGGATAGAGATGCTGACAATTTGTCGCACATGGTATTTCAGGTACGTGCTTGTCTAATAAAAATAAGCGCACTATAACAATTTGTATGAGCTTTTTGTTTCCTTCCAAATTGATCAGTATATTAGAACGACGTTGTTATTTTAAGGCCCTCAAATTAGTTTGACGATTCGGAGTCGTAAAACAAATCATTTGGCACACGTTGACAGGCAATCTAGTTTACGTTATTTTTTGTGGAATAGCCAGCAGAGAAACCTGATTCGTATTTACAAAGGAATAACCATGACGTAATGCTCTCTTCACGTTTTTTTGCTGCTGTCTCAACTTATAATATGAGAGCATTGTTTAGGTATTTGATTTTGGACACGATGTTGTCTACTGATGGTCTGCCATGTACTATCAGAAACTTGAAGCCTTACCGATCCCTACTGTTTTGCTTGCAAGCGGAGATTGTAGCTATAGTAGCTTTTTTTGTGAAAACCTTTTTTTTATGGTAAACGCCTTTGGTGGCTGTACGCAAAAAGACTCCTTTGCGCATCACGTCCGATTCATATCAGTTCAGAAACCGAGAAATGACGGTCCGAAATGTCACAGGTGTCCGAAGTGTCATTTTATCTCTAGGTGTACAACCGATATTAGTATTTTCTTGGATTCGAATGGGACAAAATGGGTCCGAGTTTTCTAGATTTGTATAGTCTCGGTTTACGAATACGAATCTCATGCAGTGCGCAAATGCGGCCTTACCACCCTGGTAAGGCGTCACGTGATGATAGTAAAATGTCATAGATTATGCGCACATCGGTATGTCTTCCTTTTCATGTAAACTCTACTCTACATTACATGAAGATGGCCCAACTGACTAAATTTTAACTTTCTTACAAGAAGATTATCTAAGGCCGTGAGGCGGGTCCGTTTGCTGATGCTGACCATACCTATGTACATGGGAATATTATAAATAAATAAATAACGCACACACTCAACATAGCCCCGCACTAGGGAAACCCTGTGTCGCGGGTGCCATGGACACACACATAGACAACCACAAATTACACCCAAACTCACGAGAGAAATAATTGTAGGCCATACAACTATTTCTCCCGGCCCGGGAATCGAACCTAGGACCTCTACGTGACAGTCCGGCGTGGTAACCGTTCGGCCACGGAGGCAGTTTATTATGTACATACTCGGTGTTATGTACATACAGTTTATTATGTACATACTCGGTGTTTAAACGCTGACACTAGTTATCCACTGACACCCTACTATCTGACTTAGATGGTCCCTGTGCGGGTTCGCTCGCACAAGCCATAGTGCCCTTCCCGCATAACCAGGAGGTGGATAGGGAGGGGCGTTATAAACAAAACTTATGTAGAAAGATATGGGACTGACAACCTACTACGCACAATGTCATACATTGTACGAACAACAGCTAATCTTTTTCGCGTAAATTAAAATCTACGTTACTAAAGACAAAGATAAAACGGTACAGAGAGCATGCAGCGTATTGACGATACATTTTAACATTCTTATAAGAAGAATGTCCAAGGTAGCGTGTATTTTTAAATCAATAAAAAAATTAAAAAAGTATAATATTTTTTATCTGTAATGCAAACATCAAACAAAACACGTGACGTCATATGTAGGTAAGCAAAGAAACGTCACCGTATTCACCGTTCTTGTATTATCTTGTGTTTTTTCTTCGTTTAACCGTTTCCTTACTAGAAACTGTAAAAACTTTGGATTGAGGTCAATAGTGAATTAATACGTGAAATTTTCACAAGTGACAAGAGCACATTGTCCAGTTCGCTGACCAACACATGATGACTCACGTTCTGAGTTGACCACTAGTGCTATTTATTCTGCTATTTTTTTAAATTACATTAATATTTTTTTGGTTTTAATAAACTTTGAGTGAATTTCTTCTGGTCTTGCTTATTCTTTACCATCCAAAACCCATAGATACAGTCCGCTACAATGGTTAATTTCATATACTTTCTGAGAACGTAGTCCGACGTATTGCGTGCATTAAGATACCTATCCTCAGCCATCCTCGGCAATGGATGAAAAAAAATCAGGTCACCCTTTTGTATGTCGCGCACTCCCAGGGCTATCACTTTTAATTAGTATTCCAACCGGTCAATTTATCATTGTAATTTACACACATCAATGTCTTATGTCATTAAAAACTCAGCTCTCCCACGTAGTTAGCGATCAGCGCTAATATTATTAAATTTGCCTCTAGGCGTTCATACTAATCAAATGTCAGTTCAACAACACTTTTACTGTGCCTTAATTAATAGGTACTTCCTTTACAACTTGTTTTTCAATGAGTGGAATGACTATAATTTGGCACCCTTGGTACTTGGTATAAAGCCACATATGATCCCTGCGCTAAAAATATTTTTATCGCATGAAAGTGAAATAAAAATAACGCACACACCCAATTACTCCCGCACTAGGGAAGCCCTTTATAGCAGGTGCCATGGAAACACACGCATAGACAACCACAAATTACACCCAAACTCACGAGAGAAATTAATGTAGGCCATACAAATATTTCTCCCAGTCTGGCAGTGGCAGACCAGCATGGTAACTGTTCGGCCACGGAGGCAGTCATAAATAAATTATAAATTATTCTCACCGCAAATCTGTCGACCTTCATGAAGGAGGATTTCAAATAAGTAGAAAGGTTTGCCATCTCCTGAATAATCATTCTTTAAAAGATAGGAGTTCGAGAGTACGGCATCGATTTGTTTTTTAGAACCCATTTGAAAAATTAATAAGTCTAGGCGTTCTCAGGAGCGAATTTCCTTGCTCCCGTTCGCGTAGTGCAGTAGTAATTTTAATCCATTGTAGTGACACACTTGCTGCGCAGTAGGTTTTGTCACGTCAACATCACAAATCACCACTGCCTAGTAAAGGCTACGTTTGTGGAGATTTGTGGAATGAACCGTATAAATATTTCACATATTACCGTGACAATATATACCACTGACTTTCATAACACAGATTAGAGTAGGTTCAAAGTCAGAGGACGTATCTTGAGGCTACACTACAAGCTATCCGTTTTATTGTATTTTATAAGTATTTATTGTATTCTATAAGAGGCTTAAATAAATAATAAATAAATAATAAATAACGCACACACTCAACATAGCCCCGCACTAGGGAAACCCTGTGTCGCGGGTGCCATGGACACACACATAGACAACCACAAATTACACCCAAACTCACGAGAGAAATAAATGTAGGCCATACAAACATTTCTCCCGGCCCGGGAATCGAACCTGGGACCTCTGCGTGGCAGTCCGGCATGGTAACCGTTCGGCCACGGAGGCAATAAATAAACAATAAAAATTATTATATGTATTTATTACATTTTTCTCACCCTTTTGGCTTGTTTTAACTACATTTACCGAACGGAATCAAATAAATGTAGTATGGTGTGTATCTATGTTGGGTGTTGTATAAGAGCCTATTTCATCATCTATCTGTACGAATTTTCCTGAAAATGGAGAATGTATTAATAATTATTTACTAGCAGTAGTAGAGTTCCTTGTAAAAGAGTTTGTCCAGCGAAGTTCTAGATTTCGTTGACTGCCACCTTACCTATTTCTGCCGCCAAGCAGTAATGCAAACATTCTAAACAGGAATGCAGTAATGCTGTGAGCATTCCGTTTTAGGAGGGCAAGGGTGCTGGTAAAATTACAGGCACATGGGACTTGTTATGTCTCAAGGTGACGGGCGCAGTCGCAGTACCCAGAAGATCTTTGCGATTTATAGCTCTGAATGGCACTGCAACTGTTATGGATAGGCGTATCGCTTACCACCAGGCGCACGACTTGTTCGTCCCTTCACTTGGTATTATAAAAAAACACCTTTATATAAAGGTTATTATTATCATTATATAAATGAAACTTGTCTAAATGCTTGTTTAAATAAGCTGTTGATTTGTAGTAAATTACTTTTACTTCATCACAAATTACTTATTCGATCAATACTAAGCTTGGACGTGCCAATGCCAACCTAATTACTTTTTCTCACCTTACTAATATTACTTGCCCAAGGCACACATACAAATCAGGTATACTTGTTTATGATCCGTGGACGTATATAATTAATGAAGTCGTTGTTGTTTAAAATAAAAGTAAATTATGATAACTGGATTTCTGTTAATGTCAGTATAGGTAAATTGATATAAATATAGACTTTTCTGTATTGTCTCGGGTCTGGGTGTTTTATGGTACCGTCGTTGTTTCCAAATTTCCATAATACAAGTGCTTTAGCTCTACGTTCTTTGTGATCAGAGCAACGTATGTGATGTTGTCTAATATTTATTGATTTATTATTTACTTGAGAAACTGAAACCGTTTTAGACGAATATTGTGATTTGTAGGGAAATTATTTGAAATATTTTTTCAGTTGTGTCGTATCCTGCCTTTCAACACGCTTAACTATTGCTGCTGAAATTACTTTCTAGACGACACTTTTATAATTATAATAAACGTACCCTCTTTCCAACAAAAAAAGAATCATCAAAATCGATTCACAAGTGCCGGAATTATCTCGTAACATACATACAAAAAAAACGTACAGTCGAATTGAGAACCTCCTCCTTTTTTTAAGTCGGTTAAAAGTGTTGCTAATAAGAAAAGTATGAAGATGACCTGACCTAAAAACAGGAAAATAAAGAATGACAAAATGTGACATAAAAAAAACGCCAAGAGATTTTGGAAAAAATAAACAACTCTAATACTATATTATGAATAAATGCGGTATTTTGTACTTTTTATATTTTAAATAGTAACAAGTTATTATAGAAAAATGTTTGTAGACGTCTACATTACATGGCTAACATTATGTTTGTTTCGCAGCTGGTGTGCCAGGTGAAAGCCACGAAGAAACGAAGAACTATACCGGTGATAGTACGAGTATCGGATATCAACGATAATGTGCCGGTTTTCGTCAACACTCCCTATCAAGTCAATGTTTCCGAGGTAATGTAATTTATGAAAACTTACAATAGCTACAATGGACAAGATATCTAAGCTAGGTTGCAAAAGTCCAAGAACTTTTTCTTCGATAAATCCCTACGTGGTTACTTTGGATAGAGCGCACAACCATTAAAAAAATGCCATTTAATTTGTATGAAAATAATTCCTATAAAAACCGCTGTGGTCCGAGACCACTTGCTGCGGATATGAATGTGTAAATTCAAAAGATTCAAATAGTAACATTCAGAAGTACGATTTCTTGACTTTTGCAAGCGAGTTCTGTTAGTAACATTTTAAAAATCGATCTCCTAGTATTGTGACAATTTATTAATTCATATTGCTACTTTTGCGGACGTAGTACTTCCGTTTAGCTATTGCACGAGTAGGTAATTTGCACCAACTTAATGCAATATTAAAATACATTTTATAAAGTTATAGGAATCAACAAGGTTCCTTTTTTGAAGGTGTCCACTACTCGTCTGCCATTCAACTCTTATATTTCAACGGCGTAACGATAAGCAGTAATTTATATCACTAATAAAAATTCACTTTATTTGCAGCTTGTACCAATAGGCTCTACGATATTCAGCGACATAAAAGCGGTAGACAAAGATGCAGGCGTCAATGGCCTTGCAGAGTATTTCATAGTACCAGGAGACAATAAAACGTTAGAAGAAACGGGGGCTGAGGATGGTTACAGCTACTTTGCGATACCATTGCCACATCAGGGGCAGATAACAGTTAACAGGACCTTGGATTATGAACGCACGAAGCAGTATCTAGTCACAATTGTTGCTTCTGTAAGTATCTAGTACTGTGTAAGTAAACATACGGCAATCAACATGCCTCTGGATTATGGATAAACCAAGCAGTATCTGAACTCTACTCTGGTGAAATTACAGGCACATGGGACCTGTCAACTTATGTCGGGTGACGCGCGCAGTGACAGAGCCGCTCAGATCTTTGTTATTTAAAGCTCTGAGTGGCACTGCAACTGATATAACGCAATTTTGAGATAAAATATAATATAACGCAATTTTTGAGATATTTGGTTATCAAGTGCGATATGGGGATTTTATTTTATTACTGTAACATTATAATCAGATACATATCGTTATATTACACGAAGATGTGTTAAAAATAAATAGTACCTAAAAGTGTATATGTGGTGTTTTTTGTAATAGGACAGTATGGGGGATTCGGATACCATAGAATATATAAGGATACTGTCTTCGGATCCATTATTTTTTTATTTGTGGAATCAATTTTGGCATAGTCAATTTTTTGCGTTCATAACAATGAGTAAAATTGATCAAAATTTTTTTAAGTGCTGATCGACTCTATTTTATGTAAGGCTCTTTTCAATAACGACGATGGGACGAAAAAGACGGGACAGCAGAAGTTGGTCAAATTTCATAAGATGTTTTTTATACAAAATGAATAAAACTGACTAATTTTTTTAATGCTGATAGATTCAGCTTCTTATAAGGATGACGTCATTATACATATGTGACGAAAAAAATCGGGACAGCAGAAGGTTAAGTCAAATTTAATAAAACGAGTTTTCATACAACTCTACAGTTGAATAACCACAAACTTGGCATTAATTAGCATCGCGGAAACGCCCAACTCATCAACTATTACTGAATCGTAAATCATAAATCGAAAGTTGAAAATCGGTCCTACATCATTTATCAAACGAACTTGTTGTCTATGGAGACTATTTATAATTCATGAGTAAAATGTTATGGTGATTTGAATGGACCGTATTCCACTGATATGAAATGTGGTTGAATACATTAAGTCTGCATTTGGGTCTAAATTGAACGCAGTTACACAATTGCTTGGAAATTGATTTTTTTTGGTCAAAACCCTTAATTTATTATAAATATTTAAAATGAATTTAAAGCTCTAAATGCACTGGAACTCCTATGAACAGGCGTGTTGCTTACCACCAGGCGCACGACTTGTTCGTCCCGTCACTTGTATCATAATAAAAAGTTAAAACATAATTCTCGGAGGTCTAAATTTTGTCACTTCCGAGCATGAATAGAGTTCAAGTATATAGTGATATCTTTTGTTATATATGCGACGCATCCAATTTTAAATAGTTAGGACTAAAAATTAAAATTCAAAAAAAAAAAAAATAACGACAACTGATTCCCAAAAATCGTAGAACAAAAGTTGTTTTATAGAGTCTATTAAAAGTAACCTTATTTAATATTGTATAAAGGGTACAAATGAACATTGTAATACGTTTTCAGGACCGTGCACACGACACCAAGCGAAGACTGTCAAGTACTACAACGTTGACGGTGAATGTCTTGGACGACGACGATCAAGATCCATCGTTCATTTACAAGGGCTGCATGTTACATGAAGGAGCATGTTTCCACCCCGAGTATGCAAGTTTTGTAAGTGTCACATGAAGCGTGTGTATCACATGATGTATGTGTTACAATGCTAATGCTTGTTTGAAACTTTTAACCTTTAGAGTAGACATAGGCATTTTATAGACAAACGGTGAGAAATGTCGCTTAAAATAAGGTAATTACACCCAAACTCACGAGAGAAATAAGTGTGTGGCAGATCAGAATGGTAACCGTTCGGACACGGAAGCAGTTTAAATTTCAAGAAATACATTTTTAAAGACAGTTTCTTAGTGTTGTATATTTTAAATCAATGATTAAGGGGTCACTACTTCTGTTATAATATGTGATATAAAGAGCATAACCAACCATGTAGAGCATAACCATAAATAAAGTGTACCTCTGCAATCACATCTCACCTAAGCCTCGCAGTTAAAGCGCGCGGGCGGCTCGCGACCAGGCGCATTCGCCAAATTTGTGTGATTTGTGCACAAAAACCGGCACTAGAACGGCTCGGCGTACAATAAATACATGCAATCTCACGCAAGCCAATCACCATCAACACACCATCCATCCGTGCTTGCGCGCGCATGCCATAATTTGTGTAATATGTGTGCGTCGAAATGACGAGTCTCTTCGTGTAATATTCAACTAATCCCGAGACCTTAAGTTACATTAATTTTTTTACAGGTCAACAGCGGTGTTCTAGCAGGTACGCTGTCGATTGAGCCAGAAAGGATCCAAGCAGTGGACATGGATACGTTAGAGGCCAGAATACGTTACACCATTGACAGTGGTGATCCAGACACCTGGGCCAATTACTTTTCAATAGATCAGAATACTGGGGCAGTTAGACAGTTGATTCCTGTCGATACTAGCGTTGCGAAGAAATTTACATTAGTTATTAAGGTAAGTCTAACATTCAGTTTAAAGGTCCCTTCTGAAATAAAATGGTTCCGCTCAATTTAAACTTACACAAAAATTTTAATTAATTTAAATCTGTCGAGTTCTTAGGTTTCCGCGACTTATTACACATAGGAAACGAAACTATTTTTCCGGATTTAAATCGCGACCATCAACCTTGACCATGGGACCTGTAAAGGGCCCGAAACGTTGGTTTGTTTGAAAAAACAAATTTACGTGATTTAAAACCTTTCAGCACGTCGTTACATGGTCTTGTTCTTTAATTTCATATGTAACTCAACGACTCGACCCTTTTTATCTAACGTAATGTCTATATTTATTTACATCATGATATTTTGTGAGTGAATAACGTCATAAACCGTGTAAACCCATACAAAGATCTGTAGCTGTCAGTCAGCAGAAAGCGACATGGCTACAGAAGCTGATTCAAGTCCAGTCATATCAAAGAAATTTTTCGACGAGAACTGTCAACGAGTTATCGCCATTCGCCAACTTAATAGTTACAGCTAAAATTATGACGACAAATTTTCCATCCCTATAAATAGTCACCCTATTATTTACTTAAGAGTTAACCTCCGAATCACACTTGTACTCCAGGCGGAAGAGGTAACAGAAGCAAAAAGATTTACAACAGCAACGCTCACTGTAACAGTTCGACCAGTAGACGCAAGTCCGCCGGTAGTTGCCGCTACGGCAGATGAGGGAACGGTCCCCGAGAATTCGCCAAAGGGCACCAGAGTCCTGGATGGAAATGGTCGACCGATTCGGTTGAGCGTTACAGATGCGGATTTGGTAAGTCTCTGTTAAACATATCTCGTCACTAGAACCCACCGTGAGTTAAAATTTTAAATTTAGTTTGTCATAATGGTGCTTGCATAGCAAATTTCCACTACCCAATCTTTACAAATATTTTTTTCAGCATTCTGTGAATAAATAAAATAATTGCTTGTATCGACAATGATGAACATACAAATTTGTTCGAGAAGTTATAAAAGAACAGAAAAGATAATAAAAGTTTAACACTGTAGTTTAAAATGCTATACAAAGTAGAAAAACGTTCTAAACCACTTTAGTTGTAATTTGCTTAAATACAAGAATTTTTTTATATTATTTCATAATAAAATTAATGTAAACAAAAAATGGAACTACAAAATTAAGTAAAATTTTCTAAAATGCTGAGTTGATATCAATGGTGTACACCAAGGGGGCTCTTGATACCTTCATTATTAAGCCTATGGAAGTAAACATCGCAGTAATATAGCCATTGGCATTACGTAGCCGCACATAAATCGTTTAACAAGGAATGTGGCATGTTTGCATAGACATTGACGTTAGCTGCGAGATTTGCATTAATGGTTTCTAGAATTTATGTTTATAAGCATTGTTGCGTTAGTGCACTTTCTGCTGTTAGCATTTATTATTGTTGTTTTTTTTAACCAATTTGTGTGACAGTTGATTGTGACATTAGTAAAATACGCAAATAAAGGGACAGTCACAAAACTTGTATAGGATTAGATTTCGTCAGCATGCTAACGAAATCCCATATAAAACACGCGTTTACTATGGAATCATTTAATTAACGCATACTTGCTCGTGTGTATTAGATTAGTTATTGTTTTATTAAAATTTTATTAAAGGCTCAATTTACATCGCAATGGACTGGAATGGACAGCAAATTTTTTAGCACAATGAGCATTATGTTAATTGTATAACGTACAAACTAGATACGAGCCAAAAAGCAGGTCGCGCATCTTCTACCGTATCGTATATAGTTTGTATCTTACACAATTGACGTAATTTAAATTATACTGTATACAATTTACGAAACTTCGCTTTCATTCCTTGCCTCAGTAATGTTAAATGAGTCTAAACGGTGAAATTAGACTTTTATAACTTTCGTGTTCTCAATAGAAGAAATTAATTAGGTCTGCATAATTCAGCATGACAAGGGTCCACAATTAAATTATTAACCTTTATATTGTAGTCATAAGGACCACGCAAAGTAAGCGCTACAACGTTGGGTTGCGGATACCACCTCGTTACGCCATGGTAATAAAGCTTGTCATTAAATCTACCATTCTAATTTTCAGGGACCAGACGATCCAAAGCCCAACTACACTTTTGAGCTGACGACAAATTACTTTGACGTAAAGAACAGTTTCCTTGTAGTTAATGAAGATAATTTGGACCGTGACCCACCAAATACTGGCAGATTTAGGTTCCAAGTAAGTAAAATATACGAATCTTAATATACATGAGTCTTTGTTCTTAACACTATGATGTATTTTTCTGACTTTGGTGCCTATTTACGATATGAAATTTATAATAATAAATATTTATGAGTAGGTAAAGTTGAAATTTTTTTTAGAATTAGTGAAGATACCAAAATTATATCCTTCTTCCTATCATATTTATTATAAAGTTAAGTGGTAATGGAAAAGTACGGTGAGCCAGATCTAAAGATATTCTTGCCAAATCTATTTGTCGGAAATTATGCCTTACATCATTTAATGGAGCGCTTAAAAGAGTAGCTATGTATTTAACCTGAAACTGGGCGTACTAAAACATTTGGAATTAACTTCTAATAGGCCAGTAAAGCAATAAGAGAAGGGACCAAGTCGAGTCCTTTTTTTATCAAATAACTCTGGTTAAGTCCTTCAAAAGACGACAGTTAACAAATTACCATGAACTATCTGCCCGCATTCGTCAGTGTGTGAGCCAGTCAAAATACCTATTTTATATAACCTCATATCAAGAATTTATACCATTTCTATGGCAAATTCCAGGTGGTGGTCAGAGAAACGAACGGCGGTGCAGCTTCTGCACCGCTCACGCTAGCGGTTAAACTTTTGGATGAGAACGACAACTCACCGGTCATACCAAAGACTCAGCCTATTATTGTACCTGCTAGCTTGGAGCCTACTATTGTTCATAAGGTAATTTTTTAATAAATTAATAAACATGTATGTTCCTCACACCAATTTATTTGTGTGAGGAACAATTTATTTGTGTAAGGTTATTTACCAGGCATTATGTATAATTTCTTATGCTATGAGTATTACAGTCATTGTTACTAACGCGATATTTAGTATCATTGTTACTATAGTCTGTCGAGAATAACGTTATTTAATATGATGGTACAATCCTGAATAAACAGTAAAAGTTAATTTCAATATATCAGTGTCACATCCAGCAGAACTATGGTTTGTTTTTTGCACTGCCTTTGTGCCCTTATATATATATATATATATATATATAATATTCAAACTCGTGTTAACAGTTGATCAATGTCTTAGTATCGGGTGGTTAATATATGCTATTGCTATTTTTATTTATTCTTGTAGGTCTCAATGTTGAAAGAAGTGGCTAATTTTTAAAGTTCATAATATGTGGAAGTTTTTGTCCTAAGAATCTTCTTAGAATTAACATATTATAAAAATAGCTGTAAGCTCACCATATAACAAATAAATTAATTATTATGAACAACGGCACATCTTCTTTTAAATATAGGATAATTTAATTCTTTACCACTAAGCGCAACAAGTCCAGCGTGCTGTTGACTGTATATATTTAACCGCGAAAACTTTCTACCCGATTATTGTTTTACTATAAAAAAAGTACTACAGTACCTTTTTTAAACTACATTAGTACAATGTCGAGTTCTTAAGTTTACGCTGTTGTTACACATTGGAAATAAAAATATTTTTCGGATTTAAATAGCGCTTATTTGTTTCAAAACAAACAAATTTGTTTAAGATAAAAAATTTATTGGGAAAAAAAATGTATTGAAAAGAAATCAAATGAGGAAGTTTTGAAAAGGATTGGGGATTAAAGAAATCGTATGAAGATAATTCAGAACAGAAGGGGCATAATGTTTGGACATTTGTTACGTAGTAACGAATTTGTGACAGTGATAATTGTGAGGAGAATATAAGGGAAAAGAAAGGGAGAAACAGCCTATAAAGAGGTCAAGGAACTGGCTATGAACCGTGAGAAGTGGAGAAGGGAGGCTACACCGACAAGAGCTTGGCTCTTAAAAAGGATGTTGGTACAAGATTACAAAAAGTCCCTGTCTGTTTTTTCAGGTGGATGCGGTAGACATCGATGAGGGTGAGAATGCACGCATAACGTACAGCATTTATCACGTATCTAACAACGGTGGCAACAAATTCACTATAGATCCAAACACCGGGGTTATATGTAAGTTTGCACCTTGTCACTTATCACAAAGTCTTTTTTTTTTGCGTTTCACCTGACGGAAAGTTGGTATCACCTCCTCAAAACATTGCTGTACTATATTTATTTATTATAGCAAATGTGTGGCAGGTAAGTGAGACAAAAAATTTAAGATCTTAAAAGAAACTTATTTACTGTGCTCGTTCGTATTAACCGGAACACAGCAACGTTGCTCAGTGATAGAATGAAGGGCGGTGATATCTACCCAGACTTGTTTTGTACCGAGAATCGCTTAACCTGTGACTTTTACAAATAACAAACCCAAGAGAGCGGAGGTAGCTCTGCAAAAGAAAGCGCGAATGTCTCATTTTGCGCGGGTGGTAGCGAGTCACACAGTTTAAAATCGCTGTGCAAATTAAATATTTTGTGACTACAGTCGGTTGCTTGTCGGTTGTATAAATTACGCACATTTGTAAATGTTTCATCTCTCGGTAAAGATGAAAGATCAAACCCATTCCGAATTTCCAAACTTGCATTATGCCAATTTATGATTAGTCAATAGCCCTTACTTAAGTAAAGGTAAATTATTTACCACCGTATTTTTTTAACGTAATCGTACGATGGTCAAATATTTAGCACCATAAGAAAACATCGTGTGCCCGTTTTTTGAAAAATAGTTAGCAATGGAAATGGCATCTGCGATTCCCAATTAGCACGGATCTATTGTAAAATTTTATAGATATTAATTTAAATATAATACAAAATATAAATATAATATAAAATAAAGTATAAATTTTGTAGGGATTAACACTCGCGTTTGTTTAAGGTTTAACTCTCTCTTTATAGGAGACCTGTGCTCAACAGTGGGACGTATAATAGGTTTATGACGTTGTTGAAGTGTGCATAGCGCTGCACAGTTCTACATAAAATAACTCCGTACTCTTTACACTTGTTCCGACCCGGTCTCTTGCACTCTTCACTGAATTGAACGGCTACTCGCATTATGTAGCGCTACTTACCGCGATGAAATGCTATTTATTTATATATATTTTATCAGTCCTGAGTAGCTACGCCATTTATTTATATATATTTTTTCATCCACCAACAACGGATGGGAGAGAGATGTAATTACATCTTATACGAATAGAATTTCATCATTGTTTGTTTAACGCTTCTCCCGTTTTCCCTTTAACGGATATTGGATTATGCAATGGACGAATATCTGTCAATCAGATCTGTGAGTATTTAAAAATTCGACGGCAACGTTTATATCGTATATTCCAAAGTAAATCAGCACAAAGTTTGATCTTTCGTATTGCACATGCACATGTTTTTTTTTTACAAGAGTGTAGGTCTGCACGTGTGTGTGTATTGATTACGTTTTCTTAAAGCACGCGTGTGATTTTTTATTGAATGCATTTTGACCCTTAAAAATAAAATACTCTCGAAAATAATAAATTTGCACGAATTTCTTTAACTTTATAAATGTTACAATTGTGTTGTTGTACTATATCCTACATGTTCCATGTGTGTCCCAAAGCTATAGGAGATGGAGGGAAAGTACTTTAAATATTGTAGACAGGACATTTTGCTTCTTAGATACATTATTTTATTTTTACGGTATGGTAACCAGGCTTATATTTATTTATCTCGTGAGTTTGGGTGTAATTTGTATTTGTCTATGTGTGCAAGCATGCCACCTGCGATACTGGGTTTCCCTATGAGCGTGTGCATTATTTATTTATTTATTCAGACTTTTAAACAATTGCTTGCCCACTCTAGTAATCCATACGACCAAATATGAAAAAAATACCTGCAATTTTGTGACACCGTTCCAAAGGGTCAATTATAAGAATCAGTTTCTTTTTAACTAACATTTAAACACTTCTACTAAACTCAGGTACGTCTAATCCGATGCTTGCAATGCAAAAGACACTCTTAATATATTGTGTTCACAGTGTCTTGTCAATTTAAACATTAGTTTAACAAGCACTTAAGTTTGATGCAAGCGGACATTAATACTAATGTAGTGTGAGATATTATTTTATTTTTAAAACTCTTACTTAGTTCTAAAAATAAAATAATATCTCCTTGAAGCAAAATATCCTATCTACAATATTTAAAATATTTTTTCTATTGTGTTCCAAACTGCTGTGCTTACGAGAAGAACACCCTGTATATATGACGTTTCTTTATAGCGTTACCTTAAAATATAAATATAATACCCACATTTTTTTAAAACTACACATGTGATAGCAACATTCATATAGTTAGGAAACTGGAGTTACAACAAACAGTCCATAGCAAAATGAAAAAAATGACGTCATGTTTCAATATTCTTTTCAGCGAGCACAGCCCGTCTTCAAGCAGGCGAACAATACAGTATAACTGTGAGAGCATCAGACGCCAAAGGCCTCAGCTCTCAAGGAATAGTGGAGTTGAGCGTCTCACCAGGCCCTAATACAAGGCCACCGCAGTTTTCTTCAAGAGATTACTTCGCACCGGTGTCAGAGGGCGCTGCGATCAACTCTACTGTTACAACCGTCACTGTAAGTATTTTTGGTAATATTTCGTTGTTTCATTTATTATATAAGTTTCAACCTAAAAATAAAACGGTAGGAGCCCAATAGGAGAACGGTTGCTGTACAATTGAGAGGTTGACGGTTTGAATCCCTTTGACTGCATGGACGTATGATTTTAATTTTTAACTTAACAACGACATATAATGGCTTGAATATAGTGAAACTAAAAAAATATTCACTATTCAATATAAAAGCAATGTTCGGCGTGATTGCCCTTTTTTGCTTAGAAGCGGGTGAAATTACAGGCACATGTGACTTGTCAACATATGTCTCTGGGTGACGGGCGCAGTGGCAGTGCCCCTGAGATCTTTGCGATTTAAAGCTCTGAGAGGCACTGTAACTGTTATGGACAGGCGTGTAGCTTAACGTCAGGCGCACGACATGCTCGTCCCGTCACTTATGCTCAGACCACACAGAGGCGGTCGCGGAAGCGTTCCAGGCGCTGGACTTTTTGTAATGTACGAGTTTATATTATTACGCGTTCAGAGTGGCAGGGTTCATGTGAACTTGTACATTACAAAAATTCCCGCGCCTGGAACGCTTCCGCGGCCACCGCCGTGTGGCCAAAATGGGCCAAAGCATTAATATTATAAACAAATAAAAAAAATCTCCGGTTTTTCTTGTGATAGATTTAAACAGAAGATCGGCTCTAGGGTTCCAACAAACAAGTCAAGGCTACAGCAGGTAAAAAATTATTTGTGTCAATGGTAATAAGACTGTATTAGACAATTTCATCGTGTTGTCCCAGGTTCGATTTCCGGACCGGGAGAAATATTTGTATGGTCCACACTTATTTCTCTTGTGAGTTTGGGTGTAATTTGTGGTTGTCTATGTGTGTGTCCATGGCACCCGCGACACAGGGTTTTCCTAGTGCGGGGTTTTGTTGAGTGTGAGCGTTATTATTATTATTATGTTGTCGGTTGAAAATGACGTTCCATGCGTATAACAAAACTGTTCGATAATACTGTGGTGAAGTAGAGGGTTTGTCCCATGCGGTTTCTTTGAAATTCGGGATAAGGGAAGATAAGCTCATACCATGAATTTACGACATTCAATTTGCTAGCGATCTCGTAAATGTAACAGTTTGAACAGAGCCTGTAGTTTGTAATTTTATGGCGTATTGTTAGTGATTTTAAAATTGTAAATTCGTTGTAGAGGTAATTGGGGAAGGTTTTTTAAATCTTTTTAATGTTGTACTGTAAGTTTGTTTGTTGTTTAATTTTATTCTATATGTCGGCAATTATGAACTTTTTTAAATCGTTTTTATAATAATTTTAATTTAATAGCGCTAATACTCATTTAAACAATAATTTATGACTTTGTGGTAATCTCAGAATGATGTTGTTTATTGTACAATTAGAGCGGTTACACACGGCAACTTTTAAACGCGCTTTTAAACCTTTACACACGCGCGCGATTTATAAGCAGCGATGCAAATGCGCGATTGAATCGCTACACTTGGGATTTATAGGCGATTGCATTGATGCAATCGCGTCGCGTTGCGTCTTTTGGGTCGTAAGTGTATTTTATCTGAGAATGAAGACTGACAATTTCGCTTTTTATTTACAGGCCAAGGACCCAGAAAACGAACCTGTGAATTATTCTATTGTGTCAGGGAATGATCTTCGTCAGTTTGCGATAGGGGCCAACACAGGCATCATTACTGTCATCAGACGATTGGATCGAGAAGTCCTTACGAGATACCAATTGGTAAGTTTATTATATTTAAAAAATATTTAGAATCCAAGTCTGTGTGACCCAAAAGGTTGGATTTATATAACATACATCGCTTACAATATGTATGTATGTATGTAAATACATAAAATAGGGTCGCATTGTCATTAATGAATTCAAATTCGAGGGAATATTTTCTTTTCCCTTAGAGGTGGAATATTTTCTTCAAATTTGAACGGGACCACTATTAAAGTACCACCTTTCCAACAAAAAAAAAATATCGAAATCGGTTCACAAATGTCGGAGTAATGGCGTTACATACACAAAATACAGTTGAATTGTCAACCTTCTCCTTTTCTTGAAGTCGGTTAAAAAACCATTGGTTTCCACCTCTGGAAAGTTAAAGGAACTCGACGTTTATTTTTATTTCAGATGGTAAAAGCTGAGGATCCTGGGAAGTTGGCGAGTACAGCCACAGTCAACATCAAAGTTACGGATATTAATGACAACAATCCGAAATTCGATGAAGAAGTGTACACATTCCAAGTCAAAGAAGGTAAATAGATACATTTTTTTAATGCCCTAATCACACTAATTACCTGGTCTCAAACTAGAGAATACTCTGTACTACGAGCACCAAGGATTTCACTCCAGGACACCTAAACCAAAACGGTCTCCTTTTTTTCTATATCTATGAGAATGGCATTATTATTTGGTTTTTTTTTCTCAGCCTGTTGGCTGGTTTTAACTACATTTACAGATTAACAGATTTTACTCTGTGGCAATATCGAGAATACCCAGCCCTGAATTTCCTAAATTGGTCCTACCTTGAATAGAACCCGGAAGCTTCATATTATAACACTCCGGTGCGGTCAAAATGTTGATTGTGTTTAGTTGTAGAATTTCTAATTAGTTCCGTTTCAGTGTTCACTTGTTGCAGGTTTGCAGACTTATTTGGAATAGAATAGATATTTATTACAACGCCACAACATATAGATAAAAAAAAATTGATAACATTTAGAGAAACAAAACAAAATAATAAAAAATAACATAAAACCGATAAAAAGCAAAAAACAAAATATAACGACTACAAATTTTGTACTAAGATAAGATTTTATTATGTGTGCAAAACTTATATAACCGTATCAATTTTCACAATTTTTATAACTTCTAGGAACAGCGGGCGAGTTCGTAGGCTACGTGCATGCGACAGACGCGGACGAAGGTATCAACGCAATGGTCAGTTACAGCCTCCCACCGCACCTGCCTTTCGACATCGACAACACGTCAGGACTCATCGCTACTAATTCTAAACTCGATTACGAACAAACTAAGGTGAGAGTGGAGAACCTAACTGCCTTTACGTAGTCAACGTCCATCTATAGTTAGTGGGGTGCAACAGAAAAGCGACAAACATGAATGCCTTAAGGCATTCTCAACCAGTCAAGCTGGTGTTACACTTGAAATAATAATAAATCAGAAAGTAATTAATTAAGTTATATGGTATCATGTACCAATAACTCCAGAGGACTATTGTTAATCGCGGTACCAAATAGCTATTTTTGTAACTAATTTGTTTTACATTAACGAGCTGCAATTTATCATAGCTTCTCTAAATTCTAGTGATAACAAACAAATTAACTAGATTTATATGATGCCGGCTATTCTTTTATTTTGTGTACGATTAGCGCCAACTACCCATATTGGAAATTAGTTTGTAATACACAATGCCATCTATTGACACTCATATTTGTCAAAGTTCAAAAAAAAAACTTTAGCTCATGATCAATATTTGTATTACAATATTTGTATTATATTACAAGGAAAAAACTGACTTCTTATATTTCGTATTAAAGAGGAATTAAATGATATCCGCGGCCATTTACGTAATTTAAACTGCACCCAGGCTATTGATCAGCGCCATCTGGATATTAGACGGAATTTTGATCTTTTCAGAGTTACGATCTGTAGTATGGATAAGTTGTCTATGTTGGTATTATATATAGGATGATATAAAATAAACATTCTTAATATACGTATATAATAAACATGCATGTATATTATAATAGGATATATTATGTACCCACAGCAAGAACTATAGTTGGTCTTTTACAAACTATGTATTTCCGCATAACTAGCCCTCAGGAAACGCGTTTCGCGTTTCATTACCAATGTTTGAACTTACATGAGAATGAGTGCATAAATTAGAGATGCCACGAATAGTGATTTGGACCAATACCGAATATTCGGCTACGCTCTCGACCGAAGCACCGAATATACGACTGCCGAATGTTGGGCGTAAGATCTGTTCATTCCACACGCGACCTCTTACGACCTGTCTCATTGCGCTGCGTACAGAGGTAACGGGGGTGGAGTGTTTTTGTTGAAAAATTATAGAACAATGTAATCAATATATGACAGTTTCTGGGCCTGTTTTGAAGAAGTCGCTACAGATAATATGCAAATTGATGAGGAAGTGGAGAAAAGTTCTATTGCACATAATTTTTTTTAATAAATAACGCACACACTCAACATAGCCCCGCACTAGGGAAACCCTGTGCCACGGGTGCCATGGACACACACATAGACAACCACAAATTACACCCAAACTCACGAGATAAATAATTGTAGGCCATACAACTATTTCTGCCGGTCCGGGAATCGAACCTGGGACCTCTGCGTGGCAGTCCGGCATGGTAACCGTTCGGCCACGGAGGCAGTTAATAAGATACGAAATATAAGATTCATTTTAATTTGAAAACTGTTCGCCAAGATCGGACGGCAGATTTGCGTTAGCTGATGACAAGCGGTCATCAGCTAACGCAAAGCAGTATCGAAGCCTGTCAAAATTTGCTAAGATTTGTCTATCGTCTCCTGGCAGTAGTGTTTATAGTGAGAGGCTATTTTCAGAAGCGGGAATTGGTTATGAGAACATGTTTATGTCCTTTTTTTCATTATTTGATATTCGGTATTCGGCTGAATACTACGACTATTATCCCGAATAGTAGCCGAATATTCGTGGCGTCTCTAGTATAAATACCTATATTTTGTGTAATATGATAATCATAAAAAAATATATTCGCAGTAAGTGTGGTTTAGAGAGATGTATATTATACATATTTATATTAAATAGATTCTCACACCTAGCCGGTTACAGCATGCAAATTTATATTAAATTTAACCTTTTGACCGCTTTAAAGAGTCAATGAAAGTTCATTTGTATATTCTAGTTAAGTATGGATTCATAGTTGCATTTTATGTTCAGTTATATTTTCTTTAACTTAAGATAATTGAATTAATATGAGGTTAAATTAAATTCATAACATGTCACATCACTAGACTTGGCGTTTAGGAAACCAAACTAGTTTTTGCCACTGGCTGCCAAAAGGTTAATATTAACAGAAAACAACCGCTGAAACATTAAGATATTACAACTTTTAATTTACGTGAAGTATAATTAAGTACGATTCTCTTTCGCCTCCGCAGGAATACGCGTTCGTAGTAACAGCAATGGATGGTGCCATCGATAAGCGTCTAGGCACAGCTTCTGTCACCGTACTAGTCCAGGACATCCCCGACGAGTCACCTATCTTCGAACAGAGCTTGTATTCTGTACATGTGCCCGAGAATGCGGCTAACCACCCTGTTGTTAAAGTAGTCGTGAGTATAATTTAACTAACAATATTGAAACCCGTGTTAATAAGCAGCTCCTAAGTCCGGGTCCAAGAGCCGTAGTCGAGCGTATTTTATACGCGCCGACGACACGCGTTTACGGCGCCGTAAAAGTGATGAAAAAATAAAATAAAATGCGCAATCAATGAGTCATAGTTGTGACATCTGATAATAAAGACAGTTAATTTAAATTGGGTTTTAATATCGATCGTGCACTGGAAATAGATTTTTTAACACGGTCTTTAACTATATACGAGCCATATGTAAATTTATTAACGGGTCATCTACCCGCCAGATCGAAAGTGATTACTTACCAGCGGTTACAGGCGTTTTGATGATAAGGATAAGTACTCCCTTAACATCGTTAAATTATTCAAGATACTATCCTCAAAATTGTATGGATTGCCAATTGAAACTCTATCTCGGAAACAAACAGTGAGCTTAGGAATCGACCAAAATGAAAATGTGACGATGAAAAAGTGTCTTAACAATTTGGATCTGATTTTGCTTTCACTATTTATTTATTTTTCATACATTGCAATCCAGTACAGTCATGCAGAGTGCATAAGTTGGAACTGCTACTTTGTGCTATGCTTACAGGTGCAATTTACACAGGCTGTTGGGTGGCGAGATTTTCATACTTATGCCAGTTATAGAATATTGAGTTCAAGCGTTCCTAGAAAATATTTCATTATTAAAATGGAACGTAATGTTCTCAAACATGAACTTTAATTACTATACCATATATGGCATTGGTTAATTGTAGAGACGATCGATAACGATTGAAAGTATTTACAATTACAATTCTGCACATGGTTCAAAATATGATTGATAAGGAATGACAAATCTTTATATGAATTCTAGGATATATCTGGATTATCAGACGTTCAAAGACGGAAAGAAAGAAATCAATAGAAGTGCAAACCTGCGAACACGATACATGTTGTTACAAAACACTTTGGTTTTAAAGACGGTGTTTTATTCCTTTGTTATTTACAGGCAATCGATCGAGACACAGAACCAGAAATAACCTACACAATCTTAAAGGGTGATATGGAATCCTTTTCAATAGACCGTAAAACTGGCATGATACGAACATTGAAACCTTTGGATAGAGAGGCGCAAGCGAAACATGAACTCCTGGTGGGTACAGAGGAAAACAATGCAGAAACTGCCGGTGCTACTACACTCGTGGAAGTTATTGTTGATGTATGTATATTAGTTATATACAAATTTAGTACACTCCCGGACACATAATTAGAGCTACCTTGCATTTTTATTCTTAAAGGACTAGAATACAAAAACATTGTTATCATCGAAGGAAAAGTTTTCCCCGGTTTTTACAGACTCAAGTTTTCAACAAGGGATGAATGAACGAGAGACGAATGGCAACCGCGCGTCTTTAGCGCTTCACTAATTTTTAGTTCACTATTTATTGTCACTGCAAAAGTGGCACGCGCGTGTCACGACAGTGTCTAAATATTGTATAACAATTAGTAGATTACTATATATATATATATATATGTGGCGCCACCACAGAGCTTCTATAAGCGTCTAATTTGAAGGTGCTCTTAGTATGCCAGTACCAAAATTGCATGATAGTTTTTGATCAATCAAAATTGTTATTAATGATACAAGGTCGGACAAACAAAAAAATTCCTTCAATCCGGCTGGATTTGAACCAGCGACTGAGAGGGATTATCGCTGTCCCTACTGAGCTGCGGAACGTGTTAACAGACCTTACGAAATTCACTGTGTGTGTTTCAGGATTTTATATTTGGTTTTAACGGCTTTTCTGCCGTAGCGCACCTGTGAGAAATCTGTAAAATAATATCAATCATAACAAAAAGCTAGTGGAGTATTTAACAAAAATATATGAATATTATTGTAATAAAAACTGTAGCCTTAACCCTCTCCTCAGAGGAGAACCATGCGCAGCAGTAGGATTTAATACTTCAGATATCTTTGCGGGCGTGAGCACAACTCATGAAAGTTTTTTCGCAATTGGATGAATAATAATGATTATATTATACATATAAGCAGATAAGTATGTATTTTAAAAAAGCTCACAAATTTTAACTGAACATTTATTTTCAGGATAAAAATGACAATGCGCCGATATTCACCTCCTTAATACGCCCAGTTACGATAGAAGATTCATCCTCCATCGGTACACTTGTCCAAACTGTAGTAGCTAGCGACGCGGACGCGACAGTTCCTAACAACAGAGTTCGGTACAAGTTGGTTGGAAGGGGTAAAGCATCGAAGTACTTCCACGTGGAACCTGACACGGGAGCTGTCAGAGTTAGAGATGATTTGAGGAAAGAGACTGATAGCGAATATACGGTAAGTAAAAACTTTTAAAAACCTTATACGCAAATATCCGAGGGCTAATACACACAATAAGGTTGACAATAGTAATCTTTAATTATATAAATTTGTTAAACACGCCATCTAATGAGAATGAAATTAACTTAATTGAACTTAACTTTACCTATTTCTGTCGACATGCAGTAATGTCAGCATTACTGCGTTTCAGTTTTGAAGGGTAAGGGTGGTGGTGAAAGTACAAGCATATGGGACTTGTCAACTTATGTGTCGGGGTGACGGGCATCGTAGCAGTGCCTGACAGATCTTTGCGATTTAAAGCTCTGTGTGGCAATGCAACTGTTATGGACAGTCTTGTAGCTTACCATCAGGCGCACGACTTGTTCGTCCCATCACTTGATATTATAAAAAAAAACTTTTTGTCCGGATTTGATACGCCTATACGTAACTGTCCTATGTTCCTTTTTTATTAGCTTTAGGGTGTTACCTCACTAACTGATCGATGTCGAATCGATGCCATCGACTGATACCTGATACACATATCTGTCTTTTTTGAAGATGGAGTAAAATGACAGTTCATTGCGTGAAAGTGTTGCCTGCTTGCAAGTAGCTAGTGATTGCAGTCGATAAATATTCTATCGACTGTCGCTAAAGTTGGTCATGCTCATGCAATAAAAAGCCGATCTGTAATCTGTGTACTAGTAAATCGACGGGCGCTTGTTTCCTTGATTTGTCATTGAATGATAGAATGATCGACGATTGATCAACTTCTGCGCACATTGTAAAAGCTATTGGAGAGCTCACTGTATGAACTACTAAATCGACAGTAGAATGATTGTTTTATCGATATAGTCTGTTTTTTTTTTGAAGACGGCAAATGACTTTTGCAGGGTTGCCAGTTTACATCACATTTTAAATAGTCATGTTGTTGTCGACAATTTTATCGATAGAATGTGAGCCTTAATTGATCGTCTCGATCGTTCCATCATTCAATGATAAATCTGGCAATAGAGCTGAACGACTTTTTGTATAGGGAATTGTCTTTCGACGTTGAATCATCTCATTCTACCATTGATAGACTATAGATTGATTGGCGTGGTAACACCCTCAGGGTCGTATTCCAGAACACTACTCAATGCTCAAGTCAGGATTTGAGCAGACTTGAGTATGATTTCAAGCACTGGAAATACGACCCTAATGGCAAGGACTTGAGTATGATTTTCAGTGCTCACTGCAATACTCAAGTCCTGACTTGAGTATTGAGTAGAGTTCTGGAATACGACCCTTAGATTTAAATATTCGGTAATTTTCAGGTGGACGTGCAGGTTTACGACCAAGGAGAGCCAGTGTTGTCTTCTGTCACCAGTCTTACTGTATACGTCAGTCACTCAGCAACTGTCCCACCAGATGTAAGTACATAGCCCATTGTTACAATTCTCTTTGAGTACGACACAGTACACTACTCTATAAGGAACGCCACGCAGGCCTAAATTAATATATCCACCAGTCGGGACAGCACCCGCTCTCTGTGTGTTTCATGCTAAAGTTCTTACTTATACTGTACTTACTTATATATTACCACGCTTATTAGAATCAGAAAAAAAAGACTTTGGATATATGCAATAAGAACGAAAATGACTCGTTTCGCTTCCGCTCGGACCGCCGCGCGCCGACGCGAATGTTCAAATTGTCTTAAACAGTTGCATATTCACCGATAATTTTGACATTAGCTATATCTACCCGGTGTTATCGAGACTTTATTTTCACAGAAAGATTTTAAAAGCCATTCATCCGTCACTTTGTGTAATGTAAATACTATACTGTACACTGTATTATACTGTGCTGTGTATCTTTTTTTATATATCTCTTTAACCGACGATGTTATATCTTTATTATATGTTTGACGGCCTCCGTGGTCGAGTGGCTTACACACCGGTTTTCATAGTGTCGCCATCTCTGAGGTCCCAGGTCCGATCACCGGCCGGGTCAGTGTAGAAACCTAAGTTTTCTATATTGTCTCGGGTCTACGCGTTTGTGGTATCGTCGTTGTTTCCGTTTTCCATAACACAAGTGCTTTAGCTACTTACTTCGGGATCAGAGCAACGTATGTGATGTTGTCTAATATATCTGCCGGTGAAAGTTAAAGAACCTTATATTAATTTTTACTACAGAGCGCTTTAAAGAGTATGAGGCTTTTAATTAGGCATATTAAAAGTCAAATAAAATAAGTACAAAATAAAAATAAACGACACGATACGTCTTAATGTCTTTTACCATTGCTTGAATGAAGTAATTTCCAAGGAAAAATATCTAAATTCCAAAATATGGACTTAGGGCGCTTTCGAATTAGACGCTTGTAGAAGCGCTGCAGTGGCGCTATCACAAGCGACTAGTTTGAAGGCGCCCTTAATTAAGGTCCTCTACCTTTCACTTACAGATTACGTCAATTTAAAAAAAAACCAATGAGCTAGCCAATTGCTGGCAATTCAAGGCCGATTCATGCTAACTAACCAAAGAAATTATTTAACTTTATATTGAGTTTTTTGTCTAGGCAATTTATTTAAATAATTAAACTTAATTTTCAGGTGGGCCTAGGATTCGCAGATACAGTATATACTGAACACGTGGCGGAAAATTCGCCTAACGGCACACTAGTGCGGATATTACCTTTACTCAATAAGAGAGAACACTCGCCAAATACTCCGCTTAAGTGTCGGCTAACCGAGTCATCGCAGAAAGGTATTATATTTATATTTCAATCTAAATTCTTTACAAATACTTATGAATACTTTAGGAGACCATAAGTAGCAAAAGTAAATGCACATTTTCCGATTACTCCATTGGTAAACCATGCTTTAATGCCCTGGCCACACAGAGGCGGCAGTGGAAGCACCCGGAACGCTTCCGCGGCCGCCTCTGTGTGGACCTGGGGACTAAGCATGTGTAGACATCTCGACTTTTCTCGATCTAATTTTCCAAAATGTTACTTAAACAATTGCACTACTTACTTGGTCGCACACTAGATATAGTCCTGTACTATTTAGAAATTACTTTTAATTTGGATGTTGTAAATAGTAATCCTGAAGTATATTTATTGTTATATGTAATGCAAAGATCTGCAACAAGCACTTAGGAAAATTCCGAAAAGAAAAAAGTTCGCTAGTTCGTCTGACACGGTTTGCTGGAAGACACTGGTTCGTATCCATCCGGATCGAAAGAATTTTTTTCTTAGTATTCGATCTTTGTATTCACAATTATAATATAGTAAATAGTTAGTAGTATTTTATGTTTTTACGAATGTCCAAGTTGAACTCCATTTTAAGGCCCAGCAGTAGTATTTTATGTTTTTACGAATGTCCAAGTTGAACTCCAATTTAAGGCCCAGCAGTCAGCGGCAGATGAATTAACCAAAACTAACTTTGGAAGGATGATCAAGATAGTAACCCTGACTATATTTATTGCTATTGTACCCATATATACAAGGTTATTTGTAAAATACGAACAACCTCACAGGACTATATTACTAACATCTGTTATTTCTATGACTTTTAATAATTCTTCAGATTTTACATTCGTACAAAAATAAAAATATTTTAATAGATCGCTCTAAACGGTGCTGGTGATAACTCTGTGCGGCAGCAAAAAAAAGCATCCACCACCATTTTTATGATTGACAGCATACGGGAAGCGTTGCTTGAACTTACTATTTTTTTTATAATATCAAGTAACGGGACGAACAAGTCGTGTGCTTGATAGGAAGCTGCACTCCTGTCCATAACAGTTGCAGTGCCACTAAGAGCTTTAAATCGCAAAGATCTGAGGGGCACTGTCACTGCGCCCGTCACCCTGAGACATAAGTTGACAAGTCCCACCTGCTTGTAATTTCACCAGGCAGAACTATTACTGGATACAGATCTAAAAAGTGTCATATAGTCCTATAAAAACTTAAAAGTTTATTTTTGGTAAATCTATTATGTTTTGTTAAAAGTCATGGAAGAAAAGTTGTTATTAATGATGTTTGTAATATGGTCCTGCGATGTTGTTAGTATTTTACAAATAACCCTCTATATATGAGTACAATAGCAATGAATATACTTCAGGGTTACTATCTTGAACATCCAAATTAAAATTTTTTCGTAAAGTTAGTTTTGGTTAATTCGTCTGCCGGTCGGAGTGCTGACTGCTGAGACTTAAAATGGAGTTCAACTTGGACACTCGTAAAAACATAAAGTACTACTAATTATTTACTATGTTGTAATTATAAATGCAAAGATAGAATACTAAGAAAAAAATCCTTCGATCCGGGTGGATACGAACCAGCGTCTTCCAGCAAACCGTGCCAGACGCCATGCCAACGAAGCCACGGAACGAATTAGCGGACCTTACGAATTTTCCCATGTGCTCGTAGCAGATCTTTGTTTTCTGTTCTTAACGATTTTTTCGCCATCCACCCGGATCGAAGGAAGTTTTTCTTAGAATTACACACGGAGATTTTCAGCAGCGATGCGACGATGCAAACGCGCGACAGCATCGATATAAATGCGCGTCTGCATCGATATAAACGCCGGATTGCATCGATGCAATCACCTATAAATCCCAAGTATAGCGATGCAATCGCGTTTGTATCGATGCAGTCGCGCGCTAGCAACGCTGCTTAAAATCGCGCGCGTATAAAGGTAGACGATTAGCGACTGCATCGCTAGTGCATTGCTGCTAAAAGTAGCTATGTGTAACCGCTTTTAGTGTTCGATCTTTGTATTATTAATTATAACTAGTGGAGTAATATAACAAAAGTAATTTAATATCGTGGTGGTCAGACAACGTGACATTAAATAAAATGAAAATAAAAATCTTAAAAAATTATCTACCGTATTATTTCAGATGTATTCCTCGTCAAGCTGACCGAAGAACGCGACTGTGCGATCTATTTAAACACCAGTGCTCTCGACTATGAAACCCTATCAGAATATTCTCTGGAACTCCAACTAGAGTCCATAAAAGGCCTTATAAACCCAGACAGTAGCAAAGCAATAGTCAAAATCCATGTGACTGACGCCAACGATAACGCACCGGTGTTTGTGTTTCCTGACCAATCAACAATAACTGCCGCTAAGGGAAAATACTACGCTATCGTTACCCCGGACATGTTATTGGGTACTAATGTATTGCAAGTTAAGGTAAGATTGTTCAGTTTGAGTATGATTGTAGCCTGTCCTTTATTATCCGATAACGTGTGCGGGGGAATTGCACGATTTAATTCCGCCTTCCCCTTTTCATCATCGGGAAATATAGCCGTAGGCTAGGGTTCGTACGAAGAGTTTCGCTTCCACATTTATATAGCAAACGGCTAAGGAGTGGAATTCCCTGCCTGCAGACTTATTCCCTGAACGCATTAGTGATATGTTTTCTATAATACTCATCATCAACACATCGGAAACGGATCTCTTTTACTCTAGCCCTTCATCATTTACACACATACGCACTTTTCATTACTTTCTTATTTACCCACACTTTACAGAGTACACATACAGCATACCTAATGTTTATTTATTTATTTATTTTTTGTGTAGGAAAGCCAACACGATGCGTATACAATAATAGCAAATGTACAATACAAAGTTGAAAGGTATATGTACTATATACTATACTTATTGGCTAACATAACAAGCTACACAGATTCAAGGATATGTGAAAATTAATTATTCAATTGCTCTTTGTAATTATAATCCCAACTTTCTTTATAGTTTAAAAGAAAAAGTAAAAACAATATAATCCCTATATTTGAATGAGAATATAAATTAACGGTATGGTACAAAACAGGTCATTCAGAATTTTGAATAAAATAGTTTTTTAATTTTATTTTTAAAGATAACTAGCGAGTCATTAAATATGTCGAGATTCATGATTTTAAATGCGTGGTTTGATTATGTGATAACGGAGCACCATCATAACTGTATTAATACAGGGTCCATAGTCTGCTAATTTTAAATAATCCCAGTTGTGTGTCAAAAGAGTGTCAATGGCAGGATTTTGTTTGTTTGCTAAAAGTAAAGAGTCAGCGGCTAGCCATCGAGCCACTATTCAACAGCCATTGCAATTTTTTGGTATTCTGCCTTCAATGGCGAACCGATGGCACGTCGATAGCGTAATCTACTATTTATTATTTACATAAAGAAACACATTTGATTTGAAGACTGAAATTGGTGATTAAACGAGATAAAATTTAAGTGCATAGTAATTTCCGTGGTAGTTTTAGTGAGGCAACATCGATGGTTAGTGTTGGAATGAATGTCATCACTGCCTTTTCACGACACTATATAGACTCCACTGTCATTGCAAATAGAGTTTAGCAGAATAACAAATTGCAATAAAATCTCAGTGAAGAAGTCTCTCAGTTTCAAGAAAATTGGCAGGCTTAGGGCCCATGTTTTGAATTTAGTATAAGTTATGACGGTCTAAAACACAACTGACTACTCTGTCGTGTCATACCAAAACACAGCAAGGCTCTATAGAGTGTTTCGTATAACAACATGAATCTTTCGACTGCTTTCAAGGAAAAAAAAAAATTGTTTTTCAATAGAAATAGCTCTTTAAAGTAAAATTAAAATTATAAATAAAGTAAACTTATGATGGCTACATGGATTTATTTCATATCTAATGTACAAAGTAAGTTAAATGTATCTTTTTAAGTTATTAACCTCAAAAATTACAAACAACCGAAAGATACTTAAAAAATATTGTTTTTGATATTACTGTGTTTGGTTTGGCAATACTGCCTGTACAACCAATTTTTTTTTGTTTTTTTTTTCTTTTTGTATTTTTATGTGTATTTATCACAATATCTTACTTTGTCGTTTCTAAATAAATTATTATTTATTAGTATTGAAAGTTTTCAAAAAATTAGGTTTTATTATGACGTTTTCGTTATCCATTTCATCAGCAATGGCTTAGATAATAGTCTACTAAAGAAAAAAATATCCTTGTCGGTTAATGAGGGTCTGCTGTTCTGCTAATTTAGTCTACATCTTAACTGTGTTACTCTATATTGCAACTAAAGATACGACGTTTGCTAAGCCTTCAGCACAAAAGGAGCTGTTGTAGAAGATGTTTTAATTCCAGCTCAAAAGAGCACTTGCAGTCGCCTTTTTCCGAAATTCAGTGACCGATATGGGTTGGAAGATCGTGGCAAAATGATTTTCTAGAAGTAGGAAACAAACTGATGTGTATTATTTTTTTTACAGGCAAAAGACAAAGATAGCGGCGATTACGGCAAAATAGAATATCAAAAGAATTCCTGGACTAAGGCTACTGAAGAATACTTTAGTTTGGATCCTGATACGGGAATCATCAGTAATATAAAAACTTTCGAGAATGTTCCGGATGAAGTACTGCCTTTCAAGTTCAGCGTGACAGCTAGAGATAATCCTAGTTCACCTCAGGATTATAATGTAGCCAGAGTCTCTGTTGTGGTAAGTGGACACTTAATATACAGTACACAGGTTTAGTTTTTATTAATAGTAAATCGCTTAACAAGGCATTCATTGTAATAAAATTTTGGTGGACCTTTTGATTGGCTCTCAAAAATTCTAATAAAAATTTATTATCTTAAATGAACCTGCTTCACAGCTCCAGTTCGTCACCTTATATGGAAAGTCATCTCAATCATTAATTATGATGAGTGAATTTGTACAAGTCGCAAAGCAAAAGTTGTTTAATTTTATAATACTAACGCCTTTTAATAATAGGAAAGTTACAGGTTTAGGCAAATATGTCTTTTTTTTCAATAATTAGAAATTGTGTCGCCATTATTGATATTTGACGTGAATGATCTTAGCAGAATATTTAAAAGAAATCTTAGGTCGAAGTTTCGGCCATTTTTTTTGCCGTCCATGTAGTTAATCATTGTTTTTTTTTTTTCAGATAAACCTCCTTCAAAAAGAAAATCAACTAGTAGTAGAAGTAGGTGATCTAAACGCAGACGCGATGAGACGTCGCTCGCGCAGTCTTTTAACTGCCATAGAAGACAAAACAGGACTTATTGTAGGTCTAGAAAAACTCACTGCAAGACATTATCTCGGAGATAATGGAACACTCGAGAGTGATAAGAAAGGAACTGATGTCTGGTTGTATCTGATTGATCCGGGTAGTGGCAAAATTTTGACTCGAGAATCAACGCATGTAAAAAAGTAAGTTTTGTTTGTTGTATTGCATGAAAGTTATGTAAATTTAAATACTGATTTATTGCAGTCTCACTTAACTTGTTAATTTGTTATCTGTATTTGTTCTTTTGTTTATTTGTATTTGTTCGATCCCGACATACTTTTATTATAATTTGCTTAACATTGTTATCCGTTTCGGCGCCGAAGCGGTTAGTACTGTCGCAGAACAAATATGACAAAACAAAATTTTCTAAATTGTTTCCATAGTCGTCACAAAATAAGAGGTACCTTTTGACACTTGGTTCTTTCATTTATTTATATAATAAACCCATCAGTAAACTTTATCGTATGTGATCATATATTTTGATGAACTATACTTACTACATAGAAAAATTATCAGTGATAACAGCGAAAGCCTTGTATTTGTTCTATTAATAATAAGGATAGAATTACATTTATAACACCAATAATGAAACTTTATAGAGCTATAGAAAGCGGAGTCCGTAAAGCAGTAGCAGCGCGTCTTCAGTCACCAGTGAGTGAAGTGCGGGCACCGCTACTTCCTGTAGAACCTCCCCGTAGACCAGTGGCTGCTGCAGCGCCTTTAGCCACTGCTCTACCAGCTGCCTTATTGGCTCTTGCTGCTCTTGTATTAGTAGCTGCTTCTGCTGCTACTATTTATATCTGCGCTTCTTGGAACAGGTTAGTATAACGAGTACTTAGATTCAGTTTTCTCCAACAAAAACTGACGTAACCACAAGTTAACCTACGATTTGAACGATCGCATATATCTAATAATAATAATAATAATAATAAGTCATGTTGTTTCATTTTAAAATATTATTTTGGTTGCATATTACGAAATCCAAAGCCCTAAAATACAATAAATCTTTTCATTTAGTTTAGGTTCTAGCTTTCCACAAATGTTTTTTTACTTTTTTTATAATACCAAGCGACGGCACGAACAAGTAGTGGCCCTGGTGGTAAGCGACACGCCTATCCATAACGGTTGCAGTGCCATTCAGAGCTTTAAATCGCAAAGATCTTATGGGCACTGCCATTGCGCCCGTCTCCCTGAGACATAAGTTAACAAGTCCCATGTGCCTGTAATTTCACCAGCACCCTTACCTTTCTAAACCGGAACTGGCTTACATTACTGCTTGGCAGCAGAAATGGGTAAGGTGGCACTGCTTCCCTGGACGAACTATTTTGCAAGGAGCTCTATCATAAGAGTATTTTATTTACATTTTTGTTTTATTTTTCAGATACAAAAAGCACAAAGAAGAAGCAGTGCAACAGTATGGAACTCTAAGTATGAGTATGCCACCGCCAAGACCACCGTCAGCGTATGATTCAAGTGAAGATGACCCTGCTCCTAGATATGAAACTCAAGTAATATAAGTTTCACTTAATAATATAACATTACAGTAATAGTCTTTCTCGTTAAAGTATAATAATACAGTGATAAAATTGAAAAATAAAGACATCGTGCTTAGAAAGCAAGCTATCATATATATAAAGACGTTCCAATGTTTTTGTTTGCTCTTATACCATAAACAATGTGGTAGAAAGCTAATTAACATAATTTATTTCAGGTTCTAAATATGGCAGTAGATGATGGAGACTTGCAGCTAGATTTTAGCCCAAATAACCATGCCTTTAATATACATAATGTTCAGTATTTATCGAAGGACAGTGAGTTTTGATTTACTTCTTAACCTACATATTCGTACCTAATTTTTACTAATTAACTTCTCTCATAGAAGCTACATTACTCTAACACGATCACAAACATATATCATATACATTTGATGTGTAAAAAATAATATAAAAGACTATATATTGCTTTTACGTAATCAAAAACTGATAAGTAAATGATCTTCCACGCAAATCCATTGGAGTTTATTAATAAAGGCCTTATTTTTGTAAATTTGTGTAATCATAGTCCGTGTTTTAGGTGAAAGAAGTCCAACGCTCTCAGAAACAGCGACAACGGCCCGAGCATCAAGTGTTAATGAGAATAACACTCTTAATAACAGTCAAATAATGGACGCAATTGCAAATAACACGGCCAATATCCGCAATGCTCAAACTCTAAACCGAAGAACCTCAAACCCGCACGCTTTGAACAACGCAATAGGAACTCTGCCTAGAGTTACCAATAATAACGTAGGCAACGGGTTGTCCACTACACTCGGCAGAAAAATAAATGGCGGTAACAACCATAAGAAAAAAATAACACAGCCTATCATGGCTTATGATGAAATACCAGGACTACAAAGGTAAGATTCTACTTCTCGACACTCAATTATTTTATTACTATCCTAGAAGTAATAATTATAATAATATAAATAATCACTCATAGCCCGCACTAGGAAAACCCTGTATTGCGGGTGCCATGGACTCACAAAAATCCACAGACAACCACAATCTTTTTTTAAGATACTAATAAATTGATGGGACGAACAAGTCGTGCGCCTAATCGTAAACCACACGCCTGTCCTTATGGACAGTTGCAGTGCCACTCAGAGCTTTAAATCGCAAAGATCTGAGGTGCACTGCCTCTGCGCCCATCACCCTGAGACATAAGTTGAAAAGTCCCACGTGCCTGTAATTTCACCAGCACCCTTACCCTTCAAAACCGGAACGCAGTAATGTTCACATTACTGCTTGGCGGCAGAAATAGGTAAGGTGGCGGTACTTCTTTGGATGACTCTTTCACAAGGACTTCTACTGTTACTAAATTACACCCAATAGATGTTACAATCAATTTAAGTACTTCATGGGCCCAATAAGGCTTGACAATGTTTGAGAGGTAATCATTAGCAACTCACACAAAATCGGTATTTATAATATAAGTATTAGTAAAGCCTGTTGCTTTGACAAGCTTTTGTATTACCTAGTCATTATAATAAATATGCCATTTACATTTCAATAAAATCGACAAAAGATTAGCATTATTTTTTACATTCTATTTGATGTGTTTAATATTATGTATATTTTCCTTTGGTTTATGGATTTTAAATGATTGAACATATAAAAGTTTCGATTATATCCTTTTACAGTGGGATAAATGTTCTTCGTTTTTATAATTACTTCTAGCTTTTTAACGCTGTTTTCTCGTGGTCCCACTAATTTGTTCCAGTAGTGGGACAACGAGTGAGGGCGCGTTCCCACTATGTCGTCACGTTTTATTATCTAAACTTAAACTTCAAAAACTGCTATTATTTTCCACTGTTCCAATTTATCCTATTTTGATTGACGGCTGAATAAGTTTCATTTAAAAATATGTAGTTAATAACAGTAAATTAATAATGTAACATATTTGCTTCAAGCTACTTACCTCTTGCAATTACACCCTAGTTTACAACGACTCACCTACGAGCTGTAGGGCTAGTACAACAGGGCGCGACTTGCGCGAGAGCGATATAAAACGCGAGATCTCTATGCGAAAATACAAGTATCTCGCGCTTTATGTCGCTCTCGCGCAAGTCTCGGTCTATCGTGCTAGCCCTAGTGAATTGTTAGTGTGAACTAGTTATTATAAACACAGTTATTCGATGGTTTCAAACCAACTGTACCTTTGTTTTCGTCAAGTTAATACCATTATTGGTAACATTTACGTACTCCATTGTTTATAAGGTGCCTATATCCTTGATAATATTAATATATCCCTTATTTTCAGAGCATCAGACAACGACAACGTCACGTTTGGTAAAAGAAATTTTACAGGGTTTTCTTACGACCCCTCGCCAGTAGAGACTACCACAGAACTATAGTCGCAGAAGTGAATCTCAAAGTGTCAGTGTAAAGTGGGCAAAAGTATAATAGACTCTTGTGATTTATGAACGTCCAGAATGTGATGAACACTAGGTGCCTTGTTGAAGGTCAATTTTGAAAGTTTCTTTTCAAGTACACTCTAAATACTAACGATACCCACATAAAAAAAATCAAGCTATTACTTGCTATGATTACTATAATTACTGCCTATAACTTAGTTTTTTAGCATTAAACAATAGGAAATTTAAAATCACCAGGCGCTATTTTCATTCAGTCAATTTGTAAACAAAACAATTTGCCAAATACCGTCAAACAAATTCTCAAACATAATATTTACTACTTTTTTATAATTATTACGTTAAATTTTATAGTGTTTAGTAGGTACCTATTCTAACTATAAATCTTTACTTATTAAATTTCTGTCTTTACGCAATCTATTTCAATGCATTTGCAGGGTTCCGAATTAAGCAATTTTTTTCATTTAAAAATAAAATTAAATTTTATATATATATATATGTATATTATAATCATAAAAAAATAGCTAATGTCATATATTATATGATTTTTACCATGCTAAATTACAACTTTCTTTAATTATGACATTTCTGACGAGGAAGAGTACGATTTTTTAACGAATACTGGTTTTCTCACATTTGTCGTCTCGAGAAAAAGGTTTACAATCACTGCTTCTTTGTTTACTTTACGTCTAATTAAAAAAAAATGAAGTTATAGACGGTAGTGCCACAATTTATTAACTGCCTCTGTGGCCGAACGGTTACCATACTGGTCTGCCACGTTCCCGAGGACCCGGGTTGATTCCCAAGATGGGAGAAATATTTATATGGCCTAAGCATGTGGTACGCATTTAAATAACATTCTGAATTGATTTATGTAGAACCCAAGCAGGCCTTTACTACGCAAGAAACGGTCTTTGCCCGTTTCATAATGAGTATGAAATTAATTTCTTGTCTAAAGTTTTCGAGATTCTTGACACTCTGTCAAAATTGACTTTTCACAAATTCGTAATATAATGTTGAAAAAGAGTTTATCATTGTGTTCAACGAATGTTTAATAAGGAATACGACTGAATATGCTTCAAATACTTAATTATTTTAAGTGTGAATAACGAATTTTTAGATAATTTTTATAATTTGTACTTACTTAGCGAAGGCTAGTCTCAATGTTGAACAAATTGTGCATAATAATTGTAATAATTAATGTAAATAATTGAGGCATTAAAATGATATTTTATATTTTAAGTACCTGATCAGCAAAGCAGGTGCAAAGTTATTGTATAAACTTATGGAATCTTTTAAGCCTTATTTTTGGCCAAAAATGTGCCATTATAGATATGGGTAACGCTGTATTAACGTGAGAGCAAAAGCAACAATTACAGCAACAATTTTTTTTGCTTTTTTAAATTCATTTAATGAAAGTGTTAATTTTGTGGATTTAACTTGTTTGATATGTTCAAAATGATTTTAACTAAAAATCCATTTTGACAAACTGCGTATATAATCTTGGAATTTGTTTTTAGAAAGTACCTGTAGTTTCACGTCACTCTTTTACTTCAACTTTGAACTCTTAATTTTAAATTCCCATTTATACATTCCATTTTGTACGAATTTTGTGCCAGTTTAATTTCTCCTATAATTGTATACTACGATGGTATTTTGCATGGCTATAGTTTTTTTTTGCGTAGAAAACAACATTCATTTTTTTTTTCATAACTTTGTAGCTTCGTAACATGACTGTTTTTGTACTATAAGGAAAAATGCTCAGTTTTATAAAATATAAGAATTTGGCCTCAAAACTTGTGCCAAACGAATTAATAAAAAAGATATTTTGGATTTTTGAGTCATTCTTCTAAAGTTATGTGATTGCTTCGGCATCGCTAGATTAAATGTACGTAATTTGAAATAAGAATATAATTTACTTATTCACTAAATCTTAAACAACTTCAGAAGAATGATTTTCTTTTTTTACATAAAATGCCTATTTATATTTTATTGGCTAGGGACAAAATGTTACCTACTTCTACTTCTTTTGTATAATAATATAATAACTATTTGTAAATTTTAAAATATTTTTGTCCATTTTCAATGTGAAATTACAGATTGTATTATAATTTTGTGGATTAGATTGTTAATATAATTTTTGAAATAAATTAATTTTTATTATAATTTCATGATTTCATTTCGAACGTATTCACCTTAAAACGTGTCAAAATCTGTCGGTAGTAGATGTTCTATATTCTGCCGCCAAATGATTGACAAAATTAGACTAGTAAAATATTACACTAGGTCTCTAGGAAACAGGAATAAGTGTTTTTTTACCTAAAAGATTTGGTGTCCGTCAGAATGGCTGGGCCAAACGAGATACACAAATCAAACTGTGCTCATTATTTACTACCTTCTTTCTACTATTTAGTACTTTTATTGACATATTTTCTACCTTTGCGCTATCGTAAATATTAAAGAAATAAAGTGGCCAGTCATTCTGACGTCAGGTTGGCTGGACCACTTTACGCTTTTCATGGTTCTTGCAGTATATAATTTTTACTTTTTTTATATAACTATTTACTACCTAATTTCTACCTAAATACACAATTTTTTTCACTATTTTAGGAAGCTTCTATAAAAAGTTATTTTGAAATGAAAAGACGCGTGATGCGAATGAAGCTTCATACGTGATACTTGTCTTTTAATTTTGTCGAGTATTACTTATTTGACAGTAATTGTTTCGGACGATTGATACGAAGCAAACGCTCTTAGGATTTACTGATGAATTTTACTTTTTAATTAAGGTAAGCGGCTTGATTTTATTATTTAAAAAAAAGAAGTATTCGTTGCATTTAATGAAGAAAGCATCAGGATGAACCATCCACTACGCATGTTTCTGCACTCTCTTATTTCGTCACATTAGCTACTTGCCAGATTATTTTATTTATTTAGAAAATATCGTAGGACGTGAGTACGTATGTAGGTAACCCAAAAAGTGTATACTCAAACGGGTTTTATTTATGATACCAAGTGACGGGATGAACAAGTCGTGAGCCTGGTGGTTGCGGTGACATACAGTGCTTTAAAACGCAAGGATCTGAGGGGATTTGTCACTGCGCCGGTTACCTTGAGACATAATTTGCGAAGTCCCGTGGGCATGTAATTTCACCAGCAGCCTTCGAAACCGGTACGCAATAATGCTCTCATTACTGCTTGGCGGTAGTAAGAGACAAGGTGGCAATACTTCCCTGGACGAACTCTTTCACAGGGAGCTCTATGCAATGATAGGCAACAATCATGTTAACGGCAAACACATAGTTCACGTCATGTTTTCCCACCAATGTTCACATAATTACCAATTAAGTGCAATTAATTGTTACAATATAAATTAAACTATCGAAACGATAACCAAATTTGGTTAACACTGTGTTGACACTATTAAGTACTCGGCTATATCTTTTAGTCGTACAGGCTCAATTTACATTGATGCGCAATCGAATGGAAGTGAATTTTTGTATCGAATTGTACATAGCACAATGAACTTTGTCAATTGTGTAACGTTAAAACTAGATGAGATACGGTAGCTGCGTGGATTCTCGAGAGGTGACCGTCAGGATGGCTGGTAGCCTGTGGCGTATGGCACTGAGTGTATATTCAAGAATTGCTACCTATTTGCTACCTTTTCTAAATAATTGCTACCTTTGATATATTCTGAGAAATTTTAAAAAATAATTGACCAGCCATTCTGATATTAGAATGGCTGGTCACCACTTTGTCAGCATGAAGGGAGTAGATTTTCCAGAAGCATATATTACCAATAATTGCTACCTATCTAATACTTTCACGAATTAAAGGTATACCGCTTCCTATCTACATTAGTTAAGAAATATAAACGATTGAAAATTTTACGAAAGACTCCGATTTGCATAACACGAGTGCTTTAGCTACTTACTTTGGGATCAGAGCAACGTATGTGATGTTGTCTAATATTTATTTATTTATTATTTACTTAAGAAACTGACACCGTTTTAAATAAATATTATGATTTGCAGCGAAATTATTTTGAAATATTTTTTCAGTTGAGTCGTGAAATGCGATTGGTTACAAAAAATCGTATGGCAATTGAGCAGGTGAAACTGAAACCGTGATCAAAGTATACACGTTGAATGTCAGTTTACCTATCACTTTCCACTACCAACCGATCGCTCGATTAGAGTGCACATACTTAACTCCTACATTGTTATAAAAAGTGAACAGTGTAGCAGGACCATAAGTACTAAAATTCAAAAAGTAATCTAAAGGCGTGTACGTATAAAACTCTGATTGTAAACCAACGTTTCGTCCTTTTGAGGGTACCGTGAACGTAACAGTCTCTCAAATTTAGCTCACGGCCCGCACAGGCAATTTCGTTGTGTGCATTTTTAAATTTAATATCTCTTTGTACCGACCCGCGTGTATGGAAAATTACAGTAGATATACAAACAATTCATATTCCATGTTATTATTAACTTTGGAATACAAATTCGTTTGTATGTTTGCGCAGTTGCTGCTTTTACCTCTTAAATCATTAATAACGCCATTGTAACAAATTTTTTAAAAGATTCTGTGTCTGGTTTGACGCAGGAAGTATCTATGTTGAAAAAAGAAATACCGCTGAAACTTTGCTCTCAATGGTATTTACATAGCTGACAAGTAGTATTGATTAAATCTCTCTGATCTTACACATTTCTAGGCTTTTTGTCATCAATTTGTAGAATTTTTGTTGAAATTTACTATTGATTTAAAATATGATGTTCAGCTTATGTTTTTAACCGACTTTAAATAAAGTAGTTACTAACTTTAAGTTCTAACTTGAAATTGTTAAATTTGTCTTTTTTTGTAAATTCTTTCAATGTAAGAAACTTTGAAGGTCTCCTTGGTCGAGTGGCTCGCACACCGGTTTTCATGGTATCGCCATCTCTGTGGCCCCGGGTTCGGTCCCCGGCCGGGTCAGTGCAGAAACTAACTTTTCTATAATGCTTTGGGTCTGGGTGTTTGTGGTACCGTCGTTGTTTCCGATTTCCATAACACACGTGCTTTAGCTACTTACTTTGGGATCAGAGCAATTTATGTGATGTCGTCTTATTAATCTGTCGTCTTATATATACGACGATTTATTATTAATTCGACTGCCTGTTTCTTTTTTAGGCTTGTTACGCTTTACGTTATAACTTTATATAACATTTGTGAGCAGACTTTGATGATATTTTTTTGTTGGAAAGAGGGTACCTACCTCAGTAGTAGTCCCATTTCAATTTGAAGAAAATATTCCATCTCTAAGGGTAGCAAACTAGGGGATGAATGACTTTTGATGTCGGTTTTTTAGTACTCTGTACTGAGATTATTAAATAAAGACAAACCCGAAAACTCTTACGTTTCTTGAATGGTACGCAAATTTCAGCT